GAGACAGATGCCAGCAACCATTGTGTACATAAAAGTACAGCCCTTCATTCCCTCTGCAAGGCCAGTGTTGTCCATGAACACCATTATTTTCAGAGCGGGGAGAAGGATGCAGCTCAGTGGTGGAGCATCTTTTTCTCAGGAGGTCCCAAGTTCATTTCCAGCATCTCAGTGCAGGACCGGGAAGGTCCCCCTCTCAGAAATCTGGGAGAGCCATAGACAGTACCATGCTAGATGGGCCCAATGAGGAAGGCAACTTCCTATGTTCTGATGGAAGCAGCACAGCACACAACCTGATCTGCACTTTAATACAGTGGTGCCTCTAGTTATGAACTTAATTCGTTCTGGAGGTCCGTTCTTAACCCGAAACCGTTCTTTACCTGAGGTACCACTTTAGCTAATGGCGCCTCCCGCTGCTGCCACACGATTTCTGTTCTCATCCTGGGGTTAAGTTCTTAACCCGAGGTATTACTTCCGGGTTAGCGGAGTCTGTAACCTGAAGCGTCTGTAACCCGAGGTACCACTGTAACTATAATCATGGGGCAGGTTAAATAAGGAAAATGAATGGTTCTTCTTCCTACTCTAGTTCAAAGAGTCGACCCCTTGAAGTCGAAGCAGCAGCTGGACTTGGAGCGGGCCCGTTTCCTGGTTACGCAGGCTTTCGACGAAGACGAGAAAGGCAACAGCGAGGAAGCGATAGAGCTGTACACGGAAGCAGTGGAACTCTGCCTGAAAACGGTACGTTAAGCTACCAACTTAACTTGGTGGGATTATGTCATGGCAAGAAACTCTTCCGTTCCTGCAAACGATCGACACGCGAACGTGTGTGCATGCATCAAGTTTCAGAAATTGTTATTATTTTGGAGCCTCAGCTCTGCCGCGTGTAACACAAAAACAACCCATGGAAGGGAATACAGGAGATCACGGTTTTATATTTTAGTAACTGTGTTTAGGCTCCACCTCCAAGCAGTGTGGCCCTTGGATTTATGTTATGTGTCAGAAACCATCCTCTCACTGCTTTCAGTGGAAAGCATGATGGGGATGCAGAACTTGAAGCTGGCTTAAAAAGTGGTGCCTGGATTTCCTGGGAGGGTTTCTCACCCCTCATTTCCCGTTTTTGGGTTTATTTTTCTTTTGAAAAAACTGCACATACCATATCCCCTCTTCAGGTTTATGTGTCTGTCTACTTGTGAAAACTAGGAGCGTTTTCAGTTACTGCAGGAATTTCCCCATGTGAAGGAACTTCCTGCAGTATATCTTGCAGAAACAGAAATAGGAGGCAGATAACGGGGGAATTCGTTGCCTTCATTTTATTGAGTGTTTGAGACAAAATAGTCTTGCAGAGAGGTTTTTTGTCTGTTAGAAGGATTTGTGTCATCATTCTGGATAGTATAAATGGAAGGAATTGACATTTGCTACCCCTTGGCCTCTTTGTTTCTCTGTATGTAGATTGCTGGTTAGGCTTCTTAAACCCCTCTTTTTCATATTAAAGGCCAATGAAACTTCAGAAACAGCTCTCCAGGCAAAACTGAAGCAGCTGGCTCGGCAGGCACTGGACAGGTGAGTTTCTTGAAGCTTTGTATGAGCACATTGCATGAAAACCCTGTTTCCTAAGTACAGTGGTGCCCCGCAAGACGAACGCCTCGCAAGACGGAAAACCCGCTAGACGAAAGGGTTTTCCGTTTTGGAGGCGCTTCGCAAAACGAATTTCCCTATGGGCTTGCTTCGCAAGACGACAGCCCATAGGGAAATCTCCGGGACAGCGGGGAAGCGCAGCGCGTCTTCCCCACTGTCCTCGGACCTCCTCCGAAGCCTGGCGGCGGGGCGGGGACACCTCCTCCCGCCGCCGCCGGGCTTCGGAAGGCTCTCCCGAAGCCGGGCGGTGGGGCGGGAACACCTCCCGCCGAAGCCGGGCGGCGGGGCAGGAACACCTCCCGCCGAAGCCGGGCGGCGGGGCAGGAACACCTCCCGCCGAAGCCGGGCGGCGGGGCAGGAACACCTCCCGCCGAAGCCCTCCGCTGTCCCGGGGTTTTTTAAAATGCTGGGGGTGGGAAGAAAAGCCCTTCTCCCCCCCCCCCCCAGCCTTCAGAAGAGGTCGGGGGACAGACTGTCCCCGGACCTGGTCTGAAGTCGGTTTCCATAGGAACGCATTAATTGATTTTCAATGCATTCCTATGGGAAACCGTGCTTCGCAAGACGAAAAACTCGCAAGACGAAGAGACTTGCGGAACGAATTAATTTCGTCTTGCGAGGCACCACTGTAGTAGTAGTTGTTATTTATTGAATTTATATACCGCCCTATATCCACAGGTCTCTGTTGCATTCTGTTGCTTTCGCTGAAGCCTGGAGAGCGAGAGGGGTCGGTGCGCACCGATCCCTCTTGCTCTCCTGGCTTCGCTTCGCTGGAGAGGCACTGCACAGCTTTCCCTCTCTGCGCAGCGCCCCTTCAGCGAAGCGGGAGAAGAAAAATGGAAGGGGCTCCTCTTCAGCGAAGAGGCAGGAGAAATGGAGCACCTTCCATTTCTCCTGCCTCTTCGCTGAAGGGGCGCTGAGCAGAGAGGGGGAGACATTTTTTTTTCTTATTCTCCCCCTCTAAAACAAGGTGTGTCCTATGGTCGGGTGCATCCTATAGAGTGAAAAATACAGTATCTGTGTACTGTATTTAGAATAATGGAATAGCTGTTTTCATCTAAATTACTGGCTGTACACAAATCTTTAGCAAGACAACACAACAAGAAGCTTGCTAAATAAATTGTTGCAATGATTCCTGTTAGTATGGACAAAACTTTCAGGTTTTCTTTTTAGTTGAAAGAGCTGTCTTGAGTGGTTTCTATGTTAGATGGCATATGCCGTTCTTGCTGTACAGGGGGCTGTATGAAACGAAGGTTTTATAACAGGCAGAGTGTACGAGAAGCTTAAGAAATGCAAATACGTAAAGACATATGCAGTCACTCTTGTCATGTTTGTTTTTTAATCATTCATTCTCACAAAAGCAAATAATATTTTTTGCATTTTTACATAGCAAAATGAGTAGTATATGATTTGGTGGCATTTATAGGAGGATTCGCAATGTACTGCCACCAATGAAGTAAAAACTCTTGATGCGTGTAAAATGCAAACTCTCTATTTTAGAGCTGAAGCGCTGAAGGATTCAAAGCCGTCTCAGAAAGACAAGCCGTCCCAGCGAAACCAAATCAGCAAGCCCGGACTTACTTTCCATTAGGGCCTGATTTTTCCTTGAACGATAAGCCACAGGCAGTCAGAGCTGTGCAGGCCAGTGAACCTCAAGGTCAGCGATACACCGCAGAGGAGATTGAGGTGCTCAGGTAAGGAAAGGGAAAGGCTTTCCAGGCTTATTGAAAGTGGGTTGCCTCATTTAGGCTGCAGTCGGGTGCACACTTAAACCGGGGAGCCCATCCCACTGAACACAGTGAGGCTTACTTCTGAGCAAGCATGCATGGGATTGTTGAAAGCACCAAATTGTAGACCGATGTGATGATTCTGATGGGATGCGTCCGGGGAGACGGGGGCATTTGGCAGGCCCCCAGCTGGCTCCAGCCACCAGCCGGCAAAGGTCCCCTCTCAGAAATCTGGGAGAGCCATAGACAGTACCATGCCCTAGATGGGCCCAATGAGGAAGGCAACTTCCTATGTTCTGATGGAAGCAGCACAGCACACAACCTGATCTGCACTTTAATACATGGTGCCTCTTAGTTATGAACTTAATTCGTCTTGGAGGTCCGTTCTTAACCCGAAACGTTCTTTACCTGAGGTACCCTTTAGCTAATGGCGCCTCCCCGCTGCTGCCACACGATTTCTGTTCTCATCCTGGGGTTAAGTTCTTAACCCGAGGTATTACTTCCGGGTTAGCGGAGTCTGTAACCTGGAAGCGTCTGTAACCCGAGGTACCACTGTAAACTATATCATGGGCAGGTTAAATAAGGAAATGAATGGTTCTTCTTCTCTACTCTAGTTCAAAGAGTCGACCTTGAAGTCGAAGCAGCAGCTGGACTTGGAGCGGGCCCTTTCCTGGTTACGCAGGCTTTTCGACGAAGACGAGAAAGGCAACAGCGAGGAAGCGATAGAGCTGTACACGGAAGCAGTGGAACTCTGCCCTGAAAACGGTACGTTAAGCTACCAACTTAACTTGGTGGGTATTATGTCATGGCAAGAAACTCTTCCGTTCCTGCAACGATCGACACGCGAACGTGTGTGCATGCATCAAGTTTCAGAAATTGTTATTATTTTGGAGCCCTCAGCTCTGCCGCGTGTAACACAAAAAAACAACCCATGGAAGGGATACAGGAGATCACGGTTTATATTAGTAACTGTGTTTAGGCTCCACCTCCAAGCAGTGTGGCCCTTGGATTTATGTTATGTGTCAGAAACCATCCTCTCACTGCTTTCAGTGGAAAGCATGATGGGATGCAGAACTGAAGCTGGCTTAAAAAGTTGGTGCCTGATTGTTCTTAAACCTTTAAGTATGGAGTGACTGCGAAGCTCTTGTGAAGTTAACCTAGCACGCTAGGGGAAATTTGGTAGGATGCTGTGCTCATAAAAGTACCTGAAAGAATGCTTTTCTGTATTAGACTTGCCCGTTCATGAAGATCTACCAGTTGGGAGTCCACTTGGGATACGGGTGGCGCTGTGCTCTAAACCACTGAGCCTCTTGGGCTTGCCAATCAAAAGTTGGCGATTCAAATCCCCGCAACGGGGTGAGCTCCCATTGCTCTGTCCCAGCTCCTGCCAACCTAGCAGTTTGAAAGCACGCCAGTGCAAGTAGATAAATAGGTACTGAGAAGGCATTTGTACAAATGAGGTTATGCTTCCCTGGCTTTTGAAACCTGAAAGAAATATTTTAAGGATCCAACCTGTTCTCTTCATTGTAATTTGTTTTAATTGACTTTAATATTATCCTTTAATGTTGCTCTGGGGTCTTATGGCAAAGAAATCTAATAATAATATATTTTAGGGAGATAAGCTTTCTGGTTGCCTTAATTTTTTAACACCTGTGTTGTATTTTCTCTTCTCAGGAAGCTGCACAGTCTCTGATTTATGCTGCAATGGCAGGATCCGTCTTGGAAAATATCCCAGAGAAAATAAGTGAATATTTGGAAAGAGTTCAAGCCCTGTACTCAGCAGGTTAGTAAAGACAAAACCTGAAAACTTTCTCTCTTCGTTAGGAAATCAACAAGGCATGTTTCTAGAAAAGATGTTATACCTAGTGTGGTGTAGTAACTTGGAGGTAACTGAGACATTGTAGGGTTGGAAGGAACACCAAGGGCCATCTAGTCTAACCCCCTGCAATGCAGGAATCTAATCACATTTTCTCCCAATCTGAAACCAGACCCTGTGTTGGACACAGACCTGGGAGAGCAGGGTTGAAGTTACCACTTGGCCGTGAAGCTCTCTGTGTGATCATGGACCAGTCACTAATTCTTAACCTACCTTATAGGGTTGTTTGAAGGATAATAGGTTCCCCCTCCCTAGCAGAGACAGCCCTGGCGATCTTGCCACTCACAGGCGAGCGGACAGAGCATCGGGGCTCCTTTAGCCACTTGCTGTGGGGAGCAGCAGCTGTGATCCCCTCAGCTGAACAGTTTCACAGAGCCCCCACTCCACTGCCGGCTTGTGGGAGCCAACACTAGTTGGGGACTCGTTTAACTGCTCGACCGAGGCAAGGACAGCTGCAGACTCCTCAGTCGAGCAGTTTAAAGGTGCAGGGGGAGGATCAAGCTGTTGACTTCCTCCAGCGGACGCTAGTAGCAGAGGGACTCAGGCGTGGTGGCGGTTTCACCAGGGAGATACCGCTGAGTGAAACCGACATCGCAGTCTGCTCCTTATACCGGTCCTGGGCGAATACCGATATATCACCCAGGCCTACCAAGAGGGATATCTTTGTTAGACTATTCCATTTCATCTTAAGGGACAGGCATGTGACGGTTGTGTGTCACATGTCTGTTTACACTCCATCACAGCTTGCTGGGAACTTCCGTTTGGGTATAGCTTTTGCTTTTTGCTGTCTTGCTTTGGACACGAAGGGGATCAGACGTGTTTTCCTTTTGTCCTGATGTATGCTGAATAAGGGATGCGGATGGCGCTGTGGGTAAAACCACAGAGCCTAGGACTTGCCGATCAGAAGGTCGGCGGTTCAAATCCCTCGACGAGGGTGAGCTCCTGTTGCTTGGTCCCTGCCCTAGCCAACCTAGCAGTTTGAAAGCACGTCAAAGTGCAAGTAGATAAATAGGTACCGTTCTGGCGGGAAGGTAAACGGCGTTTCCGTGTGCTGCTCTGGTTCTCCAGAAGCGGCTTAGTCATGCTGGCCACATGACCCGGAAGCTGTACGCCGGCTCCCTCAGCCAATAAAGTGAGATGAGCGCCGCAACCCCAGAGTCGGTCACGACTGGACCTAATGGTCAGGGGTCCCTTTACCTTTATGCTGAATAAACTGCTTGTAAATATGCTTACACAACCTCTCCTTCCACTTCTGTTTTGCGCATTATCTCTGCTGAGTTGCGTGCCCCAGCTTCTGAAGCTGTGGGTCGCAGATGCTGCAACAAGGACTGGAGATCGCCCGGCACACCGGCCGGTGGGCTAGAGCCAGCTGGGGGCCTGCCAATTGCCCCCGCTTCCTTGGTTGTATGCCAACAATCTTGTCATTTGGACAACCCAGGACCTCCATATACACTGACCAGGCTTGTGCCTCAGGGAGGTCTCTTCAGGGCTCCTAAGACAGTGGTTTCACTGCCCCCCCAAGGCGCACTCCATTGTCTCTTGAGACAGATGCCAGCAACCATTGTGTACATAAAAGTACAGCCCTTCATTCCCTCTGCAAGGCCAGTGTTGTCCATGAACACCATTATTTTCAGAGCGGGGAGAAGGATGCAGCTCAGTGGTGGAGCATCTTTTTCTCAGGAGGTCCCAAGTTCATTTCCAGCATCTCAGTGCAGGACCGGGAAGGTCCCCCTCTCAGAAATCTGGGAGAGCCATAGACAGTACCATGCTAGATGGGCCCAATGAGGAAGGCAACTTCCTATGTTCTGATGGAAGCAGCACAGCACACAACCTGATCTGCACTTTAATACAGTGGTGCCTCTAGTTATGAACTTAATTCGTTCTGGAGGTCCGTTCTTAACCCGAAACCGTTCTTTACCTGAGGTACCACTTTAGCTAATGGCGCCTCCCGCTGCTGCCACACGATTTCTGTTCTCATCCTGGGGTTAAGTTCTTAACCCGAGGTATTACTTCCGGGTTAGCGGAGTCTGTAACCTGAAGCGTCTGTAACCCGAGGTACCACTGTAACTATAATCATGGGGCAGGTTAAATAAGGAAAATGAATGGTTCTTCTTCCTACTCTAGTTCAAAGAGTCGACCCCTTGAAGTCGAAGCAGCAGCTGGACTTGGAGCGGGCCCGTTTCCTGGTTACGCAGGCTTTCGACGAAGACGAGAAAGGCAACAGCGAGGAAGCGATAGAGCTGTACACGGAAGCAGTGGAACTCTGCCTGAAAACGGTACGTTAAGCTACCAACTTAACTTGGTGGGATTATGTCATGGCAAGAAACTCTTCCGTTCCTGCAAACGATCGACACGCGAACGTGTGTGCATGCATCAAGTTTCAGAAATTGTTATTATTTTGGAGCCTCAGCTCTGCCGCGTGTAACACAAAAACAACCCATGGAAGGGAATACAGGAGATCACGGTTTTATATTTTAGTAACTGTGTTTAGGCTCCACCTCCAAGCAGTGTGGCCCTTGGATTTATGTTATGTGTCAGAAACCATCCTCTCACTGCTTTCAGTGGAAAGCATGATGGGGATGCAGAACTTGAAGCTGGCTTAAAAAGTGGTGCCTGGATTTCCTGGGAGGGTTTCTCACCCCTCATTTCCCGTTTTTGGGTTTATTTTTCTTTTGAAAAAACTGCACATACCATATCCCCTCTTCAGGTTTATGTGTCTGTCTACTTGTGAAAACTAGGAGCGTTTTCAGTTACTGCAGGAATTTCCCCATGTGAAGGAACTTCCTGCAGTATATCTTGCAGAAACAGAAATAGGAGGCAGATAACGGGGGAATTCGTTGCCTTCATTTATTGAGTGTTTGAGACAAAATAGTCTTGCAGAGAGGTTTTTTGTCTGTTAGAAGGATTTGTGTCATCATTCTGGATAGTATAAATGGAAGGAATTGACATTTGCTACCCCTTGGCCTCTTTGTTTCTCTGTATGTAGATTGCTGGTTAGGCTTCTTAAACCCCTCTTTTTCATATTAAAGGCCAATGAAACTTCAGAAACAGCTCTCCAGGCAAAACTGAAGCAGCTGGCTCGGCAGGCACTGGACAGGTGAGTTTCTTGAAGCTTTGTATGAGCACATTGCATGAAAACCCTGTTTCCTAAGTACAGTGGTGCCCCGCAAGACGAACGCCTCGCAAGACGGAAAACCCGCTAGACGAAAGGGTTTTCCGTTTTGGAGGCGCTTCGCAAAACGAATTTCCCTATGGGCTTGCTTCGCAAGACGACAGCCCATAGGGAAATCTCCGGGACAGCGGGGAAGCGCAGCGCGTCTTCCCCACTGTCCTCGGACCTCCTCCGAAGCCTGGCGGCGGGGCGGGGACACCTCCTCCCGCCGCCGCCGGGCTTCGGAAGGCTCTCCCGAAGCCGGGCGGTGGGCGGGAACACCTCCCGCCGAAGCCGGGCGGCGGGGCAGGAACACCTCCCGCCGAAGCCGGGCGGCGGGGCAGGAACACCTCCCGCCGAAGCCGGGCGGCGGGGCAGGAACACCTCCCGCCGAAGCCGGGCGGCGGGGCGGGAAGACCTCCTCCCGCCGCCCGGCTTCGGAACGATGCTCCGAAGCCGGGCGGCGGGGCCGCGAAGCCTGGGTGCGCTGATCTCAGCGCGCGCAGGCTTCGGCATGCTGGCAACTCTTCGCAAGCAGCAGGAGCGCTCCCGCTGCTTGCGGAGAGGTCCGCGAAGCCTGTCCAGGACCTCTTCTGAAGGCGGGCGGGGGGGCGAAAGTCTTTGCCCCCCCCCCCCGCCTGCCTTCAAAAGCCGTCCGGGACAGCGGAGAAACGCGCTGCCTTTCTCCGCTCTCCCGGGAAGGCAGGCAGGGGGAGCAAAGACTTTCGCCCCCCGCCCCCCCGTCCAGGACCTCTTCTGAAGGCAGGCGGGGGGCAAAAGTCTTTGTCCCCCCTGCCTGCCTTCCCAGGGGCTTTTAAATCGCTGCCGCCCGCCAGCATTTTAAGATCGCCCCGGACAGCGGAGAAGCCCTCCGCTGTCCCGGGTTTTTTTTTAAATGCTGGGGGTGGGAAGAAAAGCCCTTGTTTCCCCCCCCCCAGCCTTCAGAAGAGGTCGGGGGACAGACTGTCCCCGGACCTGGTCTGAAGTCGGTTTCCATAGGAACGCATTAATTGATTTTCAATGCATTCCTATGGGAAACCGTGCATCGCAAGACGAAAAACTCGCAAGACGAAGAGACTTGCGGAACGAATTAATTTCGTCTTGCGAGGCACCACTGTAGTAGTAGTTGTTATTTATTGAATTTATATACCGCCCTATATCCGCAGGTCTCTGTTGCATTCCGTTGCTTTCGCTGAAGCCTGGAGAGCGAGAGGGGTCGGTGCGCACCGATCCCTCTTGCTCTCCTGGCTTCGCTTCGCTGGAGAGGCGCTGCACAGCTTTCCCTCTCTGCGCAGCGCCCCTTCAGCGAAGCGGGAGAAGAAAAATGGAAGGGGCTCCATTTCTCCTGCCTCTTCGCTGAAGGGGCGCTGAGCAGAGAGGGGGAGACATTTTTTTTTCCTTATTCTCCCCCTCTAAAACAAGGTGTGTCCTATGGTCGGGTGCATCCTATAGAGTGAAAAATACAGTATCTGTGTACTGTATTTAGAATAATGGAATAGCTGTACACAAATCTTTAGCAAGACAACACAACAAGAAGCTTGCTAAATAAATTGTTGCATGATTCCTGTTAGTATGGACAAAACTTTCAGGTTTTCTTTTTAGTTGAAAGAGCTGTCTTGAGTGGTTTCTATGTTAGATGGCATATGCCGTTCTTGCTGTACAGGGGGCTGTATGAAACGAAGGTTTTATAACAGGCAGAGTGTACGAGAAGCTTAAGAATGCAAATACGTAAGACATATGCAGTCACTCTTGTCATGTTTGTTTTTTAATCATTCATTCTCACAAAAGCAAATAATATTTTTTGCATTTTTACATAGCAAAATGAGTAGTATATGATTGGTGGCATTTATAGGAGGATTCGCAATGTACTGCCACCAATGAAGTAAAAACTCTTGATGCGTGTAAAATGCAAACTCTCTATTTTAGAGCTGAAGCGCTGAAGGATTCAAAGCCGTCTCAGAAAGACAAGCCGGTCCCAGCGAAACCAAATCAGCAAGCCCGGACTTACTTTCCATTAGGGCCTGATTTTTCCTTGAACGATAAGCCACAGGCAGTCAGAGCTGTGCAGGCCAGTGAACCTCAAGGTCAGCGATACACCGCAGAGGAGATTGAGGTGCTCAGGTAAGGAAAGGGAAAGGCTTTCCAGGCTTATTGAAAGTGGGTTGCCTCATTTAGGCTGCAGTCGGGTGCACACTTAAACCGGGGAGCCCGTCCCACTGAACACAGTGAGGCTTACTTCTGAGCAAGCATGCATGGGATTGTTGAAAGCACCAAATTGTAGACCGATGTGATGATTCTGTTGGGATGCGTCCGGGGAGACGGGGGCACTTGGCAGGCCCCCAGCTGGCTCCAGCCACCAGCCACCAGCCGGCAGCCGGGTGCACTCCAGTTCTCAGAACAGCATCAATCAGCACTCAAGCCTCAAAAGCCTTCAGAAGCTTAAGCACGCAAGCCAGCAGAGATAAGAACTCTTTGCAATGGAAGTGTCGGACAGAGACATGTGTAAGCATTATTTACAGGGACGCTGGTGGCGCTGTGGGTTAAACCACAGAGCCTAGGTCTTGCCGATCAGAAGGTCGGCGGTTCAAATCCCCGCGACGGGGTGAGCTTCCATTGCTCGGTCCCTGCTCCTGCCAACCTAGCAGTTCAAAAACACGTCAAAGTGCAAGTAGATAAATAGGTACCGCTCCGGCGGGAAGGTAAACGGCGTTTCCATGCGCTGCTCTGGCTCGCCAGAAGCGGCTTAGTCATGCTGGCCACATGACCCGGAAGCTGTATGCCAGCTCCCTTGGCCAATAAAGTGAGATGAGCGCCGCAACCCCAGAGTCGGCCACGACTGGATCTAATGGTCAGGGGTCCCTTTACCTTTTTATTCAGCATAGTTCAGGAACAAAGGAAAAACATGTCTGCTTCCCTTCGTGTCCAAGCAAAACAGCAGCATAGCAATATGCAACGGACGTTCCCAGCAGACTGTGCTGGAAGTAAACAGACATGTGACTTACAACAACTCCACATACCTGTTCCTCTTAAGGCGGAATGGAACATCAATATCCTAACAGATTCAACAACAACAAATGTTGCACGGCTCTTAAATATCGAGAAGGCGAGCCGACGTTATCATGGAGTTTATGCCAATGATCAAGCAACATGTAATTCTAATCCTATTTCCCTTTGGGATGCAAATGTACTAAGGCTAACAGCAGGATATTTAGCTGATAAATGTATCCACATATTTCAGTGTGGAATAGCATTGCTGCTAGAGGAGATACAGGTTTGCCATGCTTGTTTGCCGCTGCCACCCCTGCTGCCCTTTTAAAACAAGCCAACACAAATAGGACTTTGTATAGCTTTGGAGGAAGTCAGGGGAAGGCTACAGTAGTAACTTCCTGTCTGGCAGGCAAGCTTCAAAGAGATGGAGCCCCCTAGTGGTCTGGGGAAGCAGTTTCTATTTTAAAACTGTGTTTGCACCACACTGACCTCCCCACCTCTTTATCTAACCCAGGGGACAGCAACCTTTTTCAGTCGTGGGCCAGTCCATCGTCCCTCAGACCATGTGGTGGGCCGGACTATATTTTGAAGGGGGGGAAATGAACGAATTCCTATGCCCCACAAATAACCCAGAGATGCATTTTAAATAAAAGGACACATTCTACTCATGTAAAAACACGCTGATTCCCGGACAGTCCACGGACTGGATTGGGAAGGCAATTGGGCCACATCCGGCCCCCAGGCCTTAGGTTGCCTACCCCTGATCTAACTCAACCAGCCATTTCTCCTCTGAACCCTTGGTGGCCGGAACATTCAGGGGTAATGACCATGTGAACAAAGCTTTTAATGCGAAACTGAAGGGGGAAATTTGCTGGCTCTTTAAAACGAGACCATCCACTGCGTCTTGCTCCCGTTCCCATACTAAAACTGCTGACAGTATTAAGCAGCTGTTCATTTAGAGGCTGGCAGGGTGGGAAACAAATGCATTTGAATAGCACTGTGGTCCTGACATCTTGCATCCTGCTTTCATAGGAAGACGTCAAAGATCAATGGCATTGAGTACGTCCCTTTCATGAGCGTTGACCTCAGAGAGCGTTTCGCTTTTCCAGTACCTTTCTCGTAAGTGAATATAAGTTGCCTAGCTATGGACTCGCCGAAATGCTTTCTCATTCCTTATTATTCTTAAGAATTGTCTCTTGGGAACAATGTTCAGATGCTCCCTTGAATATTAAGGCAGTGTGAAAAGTAAGCTGTTGCCGCCTGCTCATTGTGGGTGAATTCATTCAACTATATGCGCTATAGAAACATTCTTGACATCTGCAGTATCCCTGTTAAATTTTCGAACACTGCTACTGTTAGGAAAAATGCTTACAGGCCATTCACCTTCAGATTAAGGAAATCAATTAACGGGCTTCTTGAACCCTGACTGATCAGTGCAGTGGAAGCTGGAAGAATATTTTATATACCGTATTTTTCGCCCTATAGGACGCACTTTTCCCCCTCCAAAAATGAAGGGGAAATGTGTGTGCGTCCTATGGGGCGAATGCAGGCTTCAGGAAGCTATCCGCAAGCCTTGGGAGCCCGTGGGAGTTCCCGCTGGGCTCCCAAGGCTTGCGAACAGCAGCCTGCAGCCCGAAACCTGGGGAGCGCAGCGGAGCGCACCCCGGGCTTCGGGCAGCTCTCCGCAAGCCTGGGAGCCCGGTGCGACTTCCCGCCGGACTCCCTAGGCTTGCGGATAGCAGCCTGCATCCCGAAGCCTGGGGCGCGCTATGCAACGCGCTCCGGGCTTCGGGCAGATATTCACAAGCCTGGGGAGAACGACGAAGGTCGCGCCGGTCTTTCCAGGCTTGCGGGTAGCAGCCTGCATCCCGAAGCCTGAGGCGCACTGCACAGCGTGCCCTGGGCTTCGGGCAGATATCCACAAGCCTGGGGAGACCGACGGGAAGTCGCGCCAGTCTCCCCAGGCTTGCAGATAGCAGCCTGTTCTGGGGGCTGGGGTCGGGGGAAGCTCGGGCTTCCCCCGCCCCAGCCTCGCGCCTGGGGGGGAAATAATTTTCTTTTTCTTTTTCCCCTCCCCCCCAAAAAACCTAAGTGCGCCCTATGGGGCGAAAAATACGGTATACCTATATTCTTTATTGAAATATAATAATAATAATAATAATAATAATAATAATAATAATAATAATAATAATAAATTGATAATAATATAAATATTTTATTTGTACCCCGCCTTTCCCAGCTGGAGCTGGGCTCAGAGCGGCTAACTTATAAATAACACAGTAATTAATTGTAATTAATTAGACCATAACCTAATACGGCATTTATAAAAGGGAAGAAAGCTTTATTTTTAACTTGTAAGACTCCAGAGATCTACACCTTCCTGTTATTAGTATCTCCCAGAGTTTTATGTGTTTCACACTGACTTAGGACTGTAGAATCATGAATGAGTTAAATGGGCAACTTTTCCAAAGACTTTTTACAAAGTGTATAGAAGATGTCTCACCTTTGTGTTCTCTGAAGTGCATCTCTTCTTACTCTCTTACTCTGCTTGAAGTAACTCATGAGCCCTACAGCCCTAACGCTAAGGAGGCTTGAGAGGTGTTAAGATTTTAAGAAAGCGTGACAGGGAAAACACGTACACATTTGAGTCTGGAAGTCAATCTCAAAAAGTAATTGCCGATGAATATTTGCTCCATATTAAAAAGATAAAATTGCATGATCACACATTACAATCCATAAAAGCCACAATCTAAGACTGTTATAACAATATTCTGACAGCAGCAGTTGAGTGATACTGGCAAAACAAAACAGTATAAAGATATAAAAAAAGCAGCAAAGAATGAAAAATTGAAAGCAGATTGTAAAGCAACTATTGCTACGAAAGAGCTATTTTATATTGTGGCTTTCTGGAACCCAAGCGGAGTAGACTCGTTTGTAAGGAACCTAGGATATAAACTCAAATGCAGATTGATAGCCGGGATCTGCATAAATTACAAGGAGATTGCTTTGGTTGTTGGTCATGAGGCCTAAGTAGTCTTCACAGCGGTAAATATTGGGGCAAACAGGGTATAATTCAGTGGGTGGCACTGTTGTCTAAATCACTGAGCCTCTTGGGCTTGCTGATCAGAAGGTCAGCGGTTCGAATCCCCGCGACGGGTTGAGCTCCCATTGCTCTGTCCCAGCTTCTGCCAACCTAGCAGTTCGAAAGCACACCAGTGCAAGTAGATAAATAGGTACCACTATGGCGGGAAGGTAAACAGTGTTCCTTTGCGCCAGAAGCAGTTTAGTCCTTCTGGCCCCATGACCTGGAAAGTTGTCTGTGGACAAACGCTGGCTTCCTCTGCCTGAAAGCGAGATGAATGCCACAACCCCATAGTCACCTTTGACTGGACTTAACAGTCCAGGAGTCCTTTACCTTTCACCTTAATTCAGTGTAGGACCCCAAGCAAGGCCGATCGTGAACTGGAGGCTGAAATTCCATGTTTGGGGAGCTGAGAGCCCAAAGGGAGCAAGAACAATTAGGAGGGAGGCTTAGGTGGTCTTTAGGATCTGCATAAGGTAAAGGTAAAGGGACCCCTGACCATTAGGTCCAGTCGTGACTGACTCTGGGGTTGTACGCTCATCTCGCTTTATAGGCCGAGGGAGCCGTCGTTTGTCCGCAGACAGCTTCTGGGTCATGTGGCCAGCATGACAAAGCCGCTTCTGGCGAACCAGAGCAGCGCACTGAAACGCCATTTACCTTCCCGCCGGAGCGGTACCTGTTTACCTACTTGCACTTTGAGGTGCTTTCGAACTGCTAGGTTGGCAGGAGCAGGGACCGAACAACGGGAACCCACCCCATCGCGGGGATTCAAATCGCTGACCTTCTGATCAGCAAGTCCTAGGCTCTGTGGTTTAACCCACAGCACCACCCGTGTCCCTGAGGATCTGCATAGGTGAACAGAAAGCCTTTGGGGTATAGCTTCCTCATTTGCCCTGATAAAAATGATGTGTGATAAAGTGATTTTACTAGCCCATGGATTTCATACTTTTGGTTTGGGGTGGGGATTGCTTTGATTGCAGAGATAGATGTGGCAAGCTGCCGTTGTCTCCCAAGCAGAAGGCAATGTTTTCCCGCTGGGTGCGGCCCGACGAGATAACAAACAGCCCCACTATGATCTACACAGTGTCGAGCTTCAGCATAAAACAGGTAAGGAGGATCGTTCTGATCTGACACAGTTGGTTATCCTTAAATAAGAGAAACAAAGCAAGACGGCAGAAGTTTACACTTTCACAGTCTGCAAAGAGAGCTTTCGCTTTTGATGTTCTTTCATACACTTTTCCCGTCCTGTGAGCAACATTCAGAACCCTCACACTATTACGTATTAACTACGTTTCAGAGCCCTAATTTGGGAATCGGAAGGGCCATTTCATTTGCAGGCTGTAACTGCTCCTGCCAACCTTGCAGTTCGAAAGCACGTCAAAGTGCAAGTAGATAAATAGGTACCACTCGGACGGGAAGGTAAACGGTGTTTCTGTGCGCTGCTCTGGTTCACCGGAAGCGGCTTAGTCATGTTGGTCACATGACCCGGAAGCTGTACTCCGGCTCCCTCGGCCAGTAAAGCGAGATGAGTGCCACAACCCCAGAGTCGGCCACAACTGGATCTAATGGTCAGGGGTCCCTTTACCTTTAACATGGGTAGTATTGACCTCCAACTCCCATTAGTCCTGAGCAGCTTAGCCAGTGGTCAGCCAGGGTGGGAGTTCGAGTTCAGTCATATTTGGAGGGCTGCAGGTTCCCTAGCCCTGCTCTGCTGCAGTTGGAGAAATTGTGTTTAGAGGAATGCTTTAGAGGGAAACAGAATCACTGGCTCTTTCTCATCTGTCAAAGTGAATGGAGAATATTTTCTTCAATAATAATAATAATAATAATAATAATAATAATAATAATAATAATAAAATTTTATTTATGCCTTTGGATCTGACGAAGAATCCAGAGTTTTGGGTGCTTTGAGGTTAGAACTGGTATATCAGAGATGGGGGCTATGTGGCCTTGCAGATATTTCTGGGCTCCCAATTCCCATCATCCCTGGCAATATGGAGGGCCTCTGGCTCCCCATCCCTGTGTGGTTACCTGACCTTTGAGGAAACTGGTGTTTACAGTTTCAAGCATATTTATTTGCCTTTGACTCAGTTCTTCCCCCAGATTTCCAATCAGTTGAGAGATCTAATTTATTGTTGGGTGTGTCCCCCCCCCAAATCCTCTTTACATTGGCCTGCTTGTCAGTGGCACTTCGTTTTTTTTATATTTCATTTATGATTTTCAGTTTTATACATTTCAGTAATTTTACAATCATTTTAACATTTCAAAACTTGACTGCCTTCTCCCTCTTTCCACGGTTCCTTAAATTTATTTTTAATATTTTCTGCATATCCAAATTAACTTAATTTGCTCATTATTCATCTACTTTAAATATATACTCTTATAAAACTGCAGGTTATTACAATGATCCTGGCAATGTTTTTATCTGCTTGCAATTTATAAGTAAATATTCAACAAACCACTTCCATTCTTTTATAAAAAGTTTGTTATCTTGATTTCTTATTTTCCTGGTAAGTTTTGCCATTTCTGCATATTCCATAAGTTTTTGTATCCATTCTTCTTTTGCTGGGACTTCTTCTTTCCATTTTTGGGCAAGAGACATTCTTGCCGCTGTAGTCGCATACATGAATAAATTTCTGTACAGTTTGGGTAGTTCCGGCACTCCTTGACGCTTGACTCTTTCTGTCCTCAGACAATCGTGTCAGATTGTTCCTTCGTAGCTTCTCTTGCTATCAGTGCGGCATACGAAAGACGATACAACAAGAAGCTGATTACCAGGTATGCTCTTCTGGCAAATGATCTGCAAAGTTTTTGTTTCCAATTTTTTTTATATAAAAAAATGTGCTGGAAAGAACTTGACAGCTTCACTATCTATGTACTTTCTGGCCGTTTTTAAATATATATATATTTATTTAGTTTTTCAAATTATAATTTTACAATCACATATCCAACATACAACATAAAAACAAGATTCTAAAGACTCTCCTGGACTTCCCTCCCTCCTTGTGGGTCCTATTATTAATCATTTCCTCCAGCATCTTTTATAATAATCCAAATCTTTTACATCTCCATTATATCCAAAATTCACCACTAAACTACAAGCGTTACTCCAATCCTACTAACAATTTTAGCTGTTTACAATGATTTTTAAGGTAAATTATAAATTTCCCCCATTCCTTATTAAAAATTTTGGTCGTCCTGATTTCTGATTCTTCCGGTCATTTTGGCCATTTTAACGTACTCCGGAAACCTGCAGCGAGAGTCCTTACCGGTAACTTCAAATTGGTCGATGAAGCTCAACACCACCTTTTTGGCTCATGATACCTAGGCTAGATCTAGACACATAAAAGAAGCGTTTTGGTTAAGCACGTTGTAAACTTTCTATGAGAAATCAGGTTGGCAAAAATGGAACTCCACAGTGCCATCTGGTGTCTCAGAGTTATAAAGCACAAACAATGCGTATAAAGCGCTTTTTCTTTGCCAGTGTAGCTGAGTCCTCAGTTTCCCAAGCCCTCCTGTCTGCTTGCTTATTCCCTGTCTTCACAGAAAGCCTCCCTCCCTCTTCTAGGCCTTTATGGTGTGTTTGAATCAAGTTGGCTGGTTTCAAGATGGTTGCTGCATCTTCAACCCCTGTTGTGTTCAGATATCTCCCACTTTCAGTCCATGTATTTATAGGCACTCTTGAAATCATAAATCCTCGATTGTGAGAGGCATGGGGAATGCATTTGGGGAGGGACCATAGCTCAGCTGTGGGACACAGGTGGCACTGTGGTCTAAACCACTGAGCCTTTTGGGCTTGCCGATCAGCAGGTCGGTGGTTCGAATCCCCGTGACGGAGTGAGCTCCCATTGCTCTGTCCCAGCTCCTGCCAACCTAGCAGTTTGAAAGCACGCCAGTGCAAGTAGATAAATAGGTACCACTGCGGTGAGGTACCACATGCGCTCTAGCTTCCATCAGTGTTGTTTCTCGCTACCTCAAGGGGGACGATCCTGCCCGTGGGGTGGGGTCCTGGGCATCTGCTCCAAAGTCTGGCTGGGATGGCACTGCTGATGTCACAATACTCTTGTGATGTAGTTTAGTCTGCAACCAGGCAGGATGACAACAAATGCAAGGTTGCCGCTAGTAACAGGAGCCCAGTGCTTTGTGTCCATCCCTCCCAATATCTAGGGAAATAAGTGCATGACTATATCATTCGCCAGTTCCCCATTCACTCCACCCAAAGTTTTGCCTTGGCAAGGAAGGTGCTGTCTGCATGATTGACTGGAGATCAGGAAGCTTAGTTGTGTCAGTATGATAGGAATGACTGGGCTGTTTATGACATCTAAATACGCTGCACCACTGCATGGCATAAGTGGTGAGGTTATAATAGTTATGTACTTTGTACTATTTATTTAATTTTATTTATTTATTTCGGACACGGGTGGCGCTGTGGTCTAAACCACTGAGCCTCTTGGGCTTGCCGATCAGAAGGTTGGCGGTTCGAATCCCCACAACCGAGTGAGCTCCCATTGCTCTGTCCCAGCTCCTGTCAACCTAGCAGTTCAAAAGCACGCCAGTGCATGTAGATAAATAGGTACCATTGCAGCGGGAAGGTAAATGGCATTTCCATGCGTTCTGGTTTCCGTCACAGTGTCCCGTTGTGCCAGAAACGGGTTGGTCATTCTGCCACATGACCCAGAAAGCTGTCTGTGGACAAACGCCGGCTCCCTTGGCCTGAAAGCGAGATGAGCGCCACAACCCCATGGTCGCCTTTGACTGGAATTAACCATCCAGGGGTCCTTCACCTTTTACCTATAGCTCAGCTGTAGAGCATCTTACATGCAAAAAGTCCCTGGCATCTCTACCCTAATAATTTGTGTTTCCTGCAATTTAATATGCCTAATTCCATTGTGGTCTCTGGTGTCCTTCACTGTGTGGGACTTCGGTTCTCTATATAACTGAGAAGCTTCCCTCTCAGGTGTGCGTTTAACACCAAAAAGCATACAATACCACTCTTTCTTAAGCTTTAAGTTGACAACACGGGATTGAAATAGACTTGGCATAGTCCACAACATGCACACAGAATATATTCTAATATTTCCCCCGGTCTCTTTCCTTCCCCCCTTCAACACAGCATTATTTATCCGCAGAATAAAAAAGGAGAGCCAGAATATAATCCGTGTGGAAAATACATGGTTAAGCTGCATATCAATGGGGTCCCTCGGAAGGTAAGGTCATGATTGTTTGCTTGTTAGGTTGATGGTTAGAATTTTATGTAATTATACCCAATTAAGTTGTTGACTGAACACATGGGGGGTCTCCACAAGGATGAATATACCACAAAAATAAGACCTTACCCCCCCCCGCGACACACACCTTTTACAGGGGGACAACAATATTGGCAGGTGTCTGTTAGCATTTGTATTGCATTTGCATTGTAAATGTGCAGTGGTACCTCGGGTTACGTACGCTTCAGGTTACATACGCTTCAGGTTACAGACTCCACTAACCCAGAAATAGTGCTTCAGGTTAAGAACTTTGTTTCAGGATGAGAACAGAAATCGTGCTCCAGCGGCGCGGCGGCAGCAGGAGGCCCCATTAGCTAAAGTGGTGCTTCAGGTTAAGAACAGTTTCAGGTTAAGAACGGACCTCCGGAACGAATTAAGTACTTAACCCAAGGTACCACTGTATTTCAAAAAACAAATAAATGGTATTGGGGAAAGGAGGTGGCAGGTGGGAGTTGGCTGGTTATTCTCTTAGTTGTTTCTTTGACTGAGAACGTGAGAGAGTGCTGACTTCAGGGAGACGCTGTCTGGAGGCGTTTGTGAGGACAAGCAAGCTGTGGATTAATACCTTAGGCACTCCTATGAAGGCGTTTTGAAAACAAAAAGGACTAAACCCTCTCTTGGGCTCAATGGAGAGAAGCACATTGTGTACATTAATATACAGTATACAGTCGTATCTTATAAGTTGAACAGTATCCATTCTGGAAGTCCGTTCAACTTCCAAGAGCCAGTGTGGTGTAGTGGTTAAGAGCGGTAGACTCGTAATCTGGTGAACCGGGTTCGCTTCCCCGCTCCTCCACATGCAGCTGCTGGGTGACCTTGGGCTAGTTACACTTCTCTGAAGTCTCTCAGCCCCACTCACCTCACAGAGTGTTTGTTGTGGGGGAGGAAGGGAAAGGAGAATGTTAGCCGCTTTGAGACTCCTTTGGGTAGCGATAAAGCGGGATATCAAATCCAAACTCCTCCTCCTCTTCTTCAAAATGTTTGGAAACAAGGTGTGGCTTCTGATTGGCTGCAGGAAGCTCCTGCAGCCAATCGGAAGCCCCATCGGACATTCGGCTTCCAAAAGAAAGTTCAAAAATCAGAACAGTCACTTCCGGGTTTCGATAATTTAGGGGCCAAAATATCCAAGTTCCAGGGTGTTCGGGATCCAAGATACGACTATATTAATGATACTTGTTCTTCAGCTGTTGCCAACCTGACAAGCAAAGATTTATCTTCAAGTCTTGTGTAAGGTGTCTCTTTTATCACAAATAGCTAACAGTGCCCCCATGTCCCCCGCATCTCATGTTTTAATCAACACATTGTCAGAACGCTTGGCTAGAGCCAATATATATTCTTCGTTCTATGAGCCTGACTCTTCTGCGTGACTTACTTAATTCCACGCGAAGCTGCCACAGCTGTCTTATTTAAGCTCTTGGTTTGATCTCTCTCTGTCCTGTTTTGCCCAGGTGATAATCGATGACTTCCTACCGGTGGATCACAGCGGAGAACTTCTCTGCTCTTACTCCAACAACAAAAGCGAACTCTGGGTTTCCTTGATAGAGAAGGCTTACATGAAGGTTATGGGAGGTTATGATTTTCCAGGATCAAATTCTGTGAGTACCGATCTGTTCTTGGCAAGGAGTAAATGTCTGTTCAGGCAGATCTTCCCATTATGAAGAGCTCTTCCATTAATCCCAAGTATAGAGAATGTAAAATAGACTGATGCCATCATAAACAAAATACGATCTCTGCTTTTTGTTCATTGTAGCATGTGTGCTTTTTTTCCAGCACAGCAAATAATCTCTGCAGGAATAAGTTATATTTGAGTTGGCCTTGTTTGGGGAATGTTCTTGGCAAATGCAAGTTAGCACGACTGAAGTCTAGTATGGGGCTTTATGGATTAAATTCTAGGGGGGGGGGATGCATTTGGGTACCACAACTTGGTCTCCAGTTTCTGAGGATTTGATGTCACATTTTCAGCTTCATCTCTGTGATGATGGAGGGAAGAAACCATTATATTGTGGCCAAAGGTAAGGAGGAAAGTAGCTGTGTTAGCCAGTGCAGTTCTGTCTCCTCTGAATCTGAAAATTTCTGATGGCTGCTTCAAAATCCATGGCGTTTTCTGTGAATTAGCCTTCTGTTACCTCCTAAAAAGTTTCACGTAGGCCAGCACCAAAAGGAAATGAAAACTGGAAGTTTCAGAACTGGAACCATACCTTTTATTAAACTTCTTGCTTTTCAAAAATAGCAATTTCCCCCCCGCATGGATGGCTTTTTCACAGTCCTGGGTTATACTGCTGTTTTTGTTAACGAGGAAATCTGCTTTTATTTCAGAATATTGATCTCCATGCGTTGACTGGCTGGATACCTGAAAGGATTGCCATGCACTCAGGCAACCAATCTTTTGACAAAGACAGTTCCTTCAGGATGCTTTACCAAAGGTAACTTAGAGCTGATATATATATATATATTTAAGAGGCTCTGGTGTTATAAGCGGAATAGTTCCATTATATTTTTACACTTGCTAGTGTCATTGCTAAGCAAATACTGGTGAGCAATTGATGAAGGTATGGTCTTTATAGTGAGAAACTATAAAAATGGCACTTTGGTGGCAGTGAGTTTCAGTCCTCTGTTAAACTTTAAACCATGGACCAGAGGATGCCAGGCACTCCTGACTTCCACTGCCTCCCGCAGTTTGGTCAAACTCATGCTGGTAACTTCGAGAACACTGTCCAACCATCTCATCCTCTGTCATCCCCTTCTTCCTGTGCCCTCAATCTTTCCCAACATCAGGGTCTTTTCCAGGGAGTCTTCTCTCCTCATGAGGTGGCCAAAGTATTGGAGCCTCAGCTTCACGATCTGTCCTTCCAGTGAGCGCTCAGGGCTGATTTCCTTAAGAATGGATCGGTTTGTTCTTCTTGCAGTCCATGGGACTCTCAAGAGTCTCCTCCAGCACCATAATTCAAAAGCTTCAATTATTCGGCGATCAGCCTTCTTTATGGTCCAGCTCTCACTTCCATACATCACTACTGGGGAAAACCATGGTTTTAACTATACGGACCTTTGTTGGCAAGGTGACGTCTCTACTTCTCAAGATGCTGTCTAGGCCTGTCATTGCCCTTCTCCCAAGAAGCAGGAGTCTTTTAATTTCATGGCTGCTGTCACCATCTGCAGTGATCATGGAGCCCAAGAAAGTAAAATCTCTCACTGCCTCCATTTCTTCCCCTTCTATTTGCCTATCTATCTATTTCTATCTATTTCAAATGGATAAGGATAGACTAATAAGAAGCATCAGTGCTTCTGTTACTCCATCTGTTACTCATCTGTAAGCAAACTTTCTTCTTTGTGACCAGATTTCGCAAAGGGGACGTGCTCATTACAACGGCGACGGGAGTGATGACTGAGGAGGAAGGAGAAAGGTGGGGTTTAGTACCAACCCATGCCTACGCTGTTTTGGATATCAGAGAATACAAGGTACCCGTGGGAATAAATGCTTCAGAGCTTTTGGCAATACCTGCTTTAAATTGGCAGGTTTTTATATTTTAAAAACTTGCGTCCTCTCGTGCTGCTGAAAAGCTAAAGAATAGGAAACCATGGAACATCTTTTCCAAATCAGCTTTATCCGGATTGTTTTAAGACTTTCAGCTCATTTGATTCCCTGTATTCGTTGGGGGTGTGGGGTGGTACAACTAATGGAAAATGCCAGATATTCCTTATTTTCTTTTCTTCGTTTAGGGGCTTCGATTCCTCCAGCTGAAAAATCCCTGGAGCCACCTCCGCTGGAAGGGAAGATACAGTGAAAATGATATGAAGAACTGGACCCCGGAACTTCAGAAATACTTGAATTTTGATCCCAGAACGGCACAGAAAATAGACAACGGTAAAGGAGCGAAACACTTGGAGGTTTGAGCAAGCAAGATTTTAAATGGCTCATTTGCCCCAGAATCTCCCCAGTGGAACAGGACTGGAGCTTGGGGGAGTAGGGGGGTGGCCTGATTTTCACAGCTCCTAGCAGGATCAGGTCCAAGGTCAAAGACCTTGGCAGGATCTTTTAGCTTTTACAGTCGTACCTTGGAAGTCGAACGCCTTGCCAGTTTTGACTCCCGCAGGTCGCAAATCCGGAAGTGAGTGTTTCGGTTTGCGAACTCCTTTTGGAAGCCGAACGTCTGACGGGGCTTCTGCGGCTTCTGATTTTTGAAAAAAGATTAGAGGAAGGGATCTAATCCTTGTCTTCCCTGCCACGGTCTCCCCGCCATTTCTTGTCTGGCCAGCTTCGCCCATCTCTCTGGCTCCCCCCACTAGGGCTGGACGATATATCATCCCAAACTGGTTTGAAGTCCACATTGTGATACTGGTTTCATCATTTTTGACCTGGCAATATATCACGAACCACAGTGTGTGTGGGTGTGTGCGTGCGCTGTGCAAAAATCACAATGGTGGGGGGGGGGACCGTGAAGCCAGCAGATGCCTCTACATCAGGCATAGGCCAACTCGGCCCTCCAGATGTTTTGAGACTACAATTCCCATCATCCCTGTAGCCTGTTAGCTAGGGATGATGGGAGTTGTAGTCCCAAAATATCTGGAGGGTCGAGTTGGCCTATGCCTGCTCTACATACCGTATTTTTCACTCTATAAGATGTACTTTTCCCCTCCTAAAAAGTAAGAGGAAATGTGTGTGCGTCTTATGGAGCGAATGCAGGCTGCACAGCTATCACTGAAGCCAGAAGAGCAAGAGGGATCGGTGTGTTCTCCTGGCTTCAGGGATAGCCACGCAAAGCCTCTTGAGCGCGGTTGGAGCGCTCCTGCCTCTTCGCTCAAGAGGCTTTGCATTGCTTTCTTGTTTTCCTCCTCTAAAAACTAGGTGCGTCTTATGGTCAGGTGCGTCTTATAGAGCGAAAAATACGGTAGCTCCATCCTTATTTCAGACATCATGATATATAAGTATATTGTGATGTTTATCTGGTGATATATCACAGTGTTGAAAACCAGGTATCGCCTAGCTTTACTCCCCCACTTCTCTGTACCAGGTGGCCCTAGCAGTCCCTGAAACAACAACATTATTATTATTATTATTATTATTATTATTATTATTATTATTATTATTAGTTCCAGACAGTCCTCCTACTTTCTCAGAATGCTTCTGGAGGTAAGTGGGACCCAGAGACATTTTGGAGAATTCACAGTGGCTAATGTTTGGATCTTCACCCTGCTCCTATGGCAGCACTGCTCTTGCGGGGATTACCAGCCATATTGGCCCTGTCATTTAGCGGGGCTCAGGGCCTGTGAGCCCACCGACCTGCGCCCTGTGATCCGGCCCTAACAGTGTCCCTATGTAGTCAAAACAGCACCACATCCACACACACATACGCACAAGGAAGGTATTAGTAGGCTGGGGGGAAACCCAAGATTTGCAGAAGTAGAAAAATAGATGGAGGAGCTCTAAAGGGGGGAGCCCAGAAACAGCCCCATGAAGGCTGTGTTCAGTAGGCACAGAATGCTGAATTTCTGTATGACAGGATGGAACGGCTCACAGTTTTGAAGAATATTCTTCCGCTTTGAATGGTCCATGTCACCATTAAGAAAAAGAATTTTCGCCTGCTGTTATAATTCTTCTCTCTGTGATATGGATGTTTTATATTTATATTTATGAAAAAATAACATTGTTGTGACCAAGTTGCAACAATTAAAGCTGCACAGAAAAAAGCATTTTGGTTCCCGAAATTCATTCTGATTGTGCAGATAAAATATAACTGATTAGAATTCTACAGAACATGGTAACAGTGTGTGAAAACAGTCCAGTTCCCAGGCAGGCACCTCCAGATGATGGAGATGTCTGGCCCCATCCTGGCTCCCAGGCATCTTCACTTGGTTGCCAGTGGCCAATAGCTACGTGCAAAATGCGCCTGGCGCCTGGCTAATTTCTAACACTGCTAGAGGCACATATTAGATTTTGCTTATTGCTGCCAGTGCTTTTTTTCTTTAAAAATGTTTAGGGGTACTCTCATTTTGACTCCAGAAAATCACCATTTTATAGTTCAAATCAGGGAAAATTAAATACAGCAAATGGACAAAAGTACAAATATTCACCAAATGTTTTAGGGGTATGCGTCCCCCCAGAAAAAAGCACTGATTGCTGCTCTCATCCCCGTCTGCAACAACCCTAGTTACTCAATTCAGAGCTAACGCTGATCAGACGTTAACTGTTGGCTTTCCTTTCTCTGTGGGATTTAAATGCCAGTTTAAGGAGGGAGCCGGTGGCGACATATCAAGGTTAGCTCACTGCGTTGCTGCCTATTAATGGCACACCGGCTAACGGGGTTTATTCTTACACATGCTGAGTGTGTTGAGGGGCCTTTGAAAACCACCATCACCCAGGCAGAGCCTTTTGCTCTTGGACTGAGCTGCGGCGACTGAAACGCACAAAGCAGCTCCAGCAGCCGCTCCTCCAGCGTCCAGGCTTGCCCTTGACTGAGTCGCCAAGGTCGGCGGAGGCGCTTCTTGCACACCCGCTGCTTCTGCCACCCTGAAGCCATCTAGCTGTTTCCTAGCACCCGAAGCCACCATCATTCTGGGGCAGCTTGTGACTTCACAATCGGCTGTGTGCACATCTGCAGGTTGGCTGCAAAGGGAGAGAGGTCTGCTGTGGGCCTTTCTGGAAGCTCAGGGTTAGGATGAGCAAAGAAAGAGGAAGATAATTAACCACAAGATTATTACCAAGTGGAGAGAGAGAGAGAGAGAGAGAGAGAGAGAGAGAGAGAGAAAGTAGCAGCAGCAGCAACAACAACAACAAAAGCCTGGCTTTGCTTGCTCCCATTTTCTGATCAGAGGTTTGAGATGTAGAAATTGCTTGGGTCCTTTTAGACTCTGGACTTGGTGGTCTTTCAGCCTGTGGTGTTTGGCTGTCAGCCGTTCTACTGAGTAGGTCCCTAGATCTCTTCCTCCAAGTCCTGCCCTGATGGTGAGGCTGCCACTTCTCAGTGCAAGGAGCTAAGCAGAGACTGTTCTGCTTATTGCATGGTGCAGGGAGAGGATGATTAAAGGGACAGAGACCGAGGTCAGCCCAGTTCAACAGCTGGCAATCAATCCTACTCAGTAACCACATAACACTGGTCCTGAAAGACCTACATTGGCTCCCAGTACGTTTCCAAGCACAATTCAAAGTGTTGGTGCTGACCTTTAAAGCCCCAAACGGCCAATCAGAAGCCGCGCTTTGGTTTCTGAACGTTTTGGAAGTCGAACGGACTTCCGGAACGGATTCCGTTCGACTTCCAAGTTACAACTGTATTATCATTGACTCCTATCATTATGTTAAATGGCTTTTTGAGAAAAATACAGCATGTTTTTTGACCTAGATCTTTTCCTTTGTTTTAGGGATTTTCTGGATTGCCTGGGAAGATCTCTGCAAGTATTACGATGTCATATACTTGAGCTGGAACCCGAGTCTTTTCAAAGAATCAACATGCATTCACAGGTTTGTCCAACGGAAATGGTTGCAAGTTGCAAGTTTACTTCTTTACAGCTGTCCTGGACTAATCCCAGCCCCCAACTTCCCTTGTGAGGGAACTACGGTATTTGAGGCTTTCTAATTTAGAAAAACGGTAAGGGGGACGTGGTGAAGATGCATAAAATTATGCCCTGGTATGGACGCAGGTGGTGCTGTGGTCTAAACCACTGAGCCTCTTGGGATTGCCAATCAAAAGGTCAGCGGTTCGAATCCCCGCAACGGGGTGAGCTCCCGTTGCTCAGTCCCTGCTCCTGCCAACCTAGCAATTCGAAAGCACATCAAAGTGCAAGTAGATAAATAGGTACCGCTCCGGCGGGAAGGTAAACGGTGTTTCTGTGCGCTGCTCTGGTTCGCCAGAAGCGGCTTAGTCATGCTGGCCACATGACCCGGAAGCTGTATGCCGGCTCCCTCGGCCAATAAAGCGAGATGAGCACCGCAACCCCAGAGTCGGCCACTACTGGACCTAACGGTCAGGGGTCCCTTTACCTTTATGGAAAAAGTAGACAGGAGAAAAACTACTTCATGAAACTAGAATCCAGGGCCATCAAAGGAAGCTGCAAGATAGGAGAATCCAGAAGAAAGCATTTCCTCATAATTTTATTTTTTATTATGGCGGTACAACTTGGGCATTGTAACTTAAATGTTTGGGAGCATTCGGCATGCAGAATTTGAATATTCTGGCACACCACGCCGCATTTCCGCTTGAGCATTCGTAAGTTTCAGGCTTGCATTTCAACATTTCAACTGTTTGCTTTGTTCCTTGAAAGGATCGCAGCAAATAATATTTTGTACTTCCTGTTGAGATCACTGCTAGCATAAAAGGAGGGATAGCCAAAATATGTCCTCTTAAAGGGTAATCAAGTTTTGTATGAATGAATTGTAATTCCTTTAAACGAAACAGTGACGTGTTTGAGAGAGGAAGTTTGTGTTTGGGATTTGTTTGTTTTTTGTTGCTTGATGCTCAAGTTATCTCATATATATATATATATATATATATATATATATATATATATATGCAGGTTTTGGTGTCCTCGGGTGTCTTCCCGTGTAAAAGTTGGGGTGTCTAGGCGACGTTTCGACGAGGTCTCACTCGTCATCTTCAGGCTGGTGCTTTCGGCTTCTTGTTACTGGAACAGAGCAGGATCTCAGTGTTTGAGTTCCTATAAATACTGTTGAGGAGGTGTGGTGTATAGCCTCCAATGTTCTGGGCAGAGAGGAAGTTCCCAGGCTAGTGTGCCTTTTCTTCTTTTGTTCCTTAATTACTTGAGGGATATCTTGAGTGATTTCTTGAGTGATATCCTGAGTACCACTTAGGTGGGTCATTAGGTGTGGATTAGTTGCTAAAGCCTTCGTGTCTTGACCTCTTGAACTTTGTGAAGAGTTTTTCTGAGAAGATGGCTGTACTGCACTAAGTTGTGCTCTGGCTTGGCTTCGTGTATAGGGGCGAGCTGTGGTTTTGTGGCCTGTGCCAGCCAGATCTGTGTAGGGGTTGCAGGGGGGTGCAGCATCCGGAGGTGCCACCATGGTTTGGCTACTGGATGGTGTCTGTAATTTATCTGTGGAGAGGGTCTGGGTTTGGGTCTGGTGTGGTTGATTGGTGATGGCGTTCTGTGTGCCTCTGGATCTGGTGTCGGTTTTTGTGGGGAGGGCTAATTTCCAGATGTCTGGCAGGCGGGATGTGTCGTCACGCTTGTTCATGTTGTGAGGGTGTTTCTCTATCTCGATGGCTTCCATGATTATTCTCTTGTGGTGATGTTCCATGTTAAAGAGCAATTTGGAATCTGCAAAATTAATTTCGTGTCCTGTTTCTTTCATGTGTTGGAAAAGAGAGGAAGTTTTTTCTTCTTTTTTGACGGCATTCTTGTGTTCTGCGATACGTGCATTTATTCGTCTGTTTGTTTGTCCAATGTACGTGGCTGGGCAGACTTTGCAGGGTATTTCATAGACCCCTTGGTTTTCCAACTGGATTTTATCCTTGGGGTTTCTGAGGATATTGGCTATTTTTTTTGGTTGGTGCAAAAGGCTGTTTTGATATTGTGTTTATGGAGGATTTTGCTAATTTTATCTGTAGTGCCCTTGATATAAGGAAGGAGGGCCATGCCATTGTTTTCTTCTGTGTCTTGGTTTTTGGGGGGTGTTTCTTTTTGGATTAGCTTCGTAACCCTGTTTTGCTGGTATCCATTGGCGATTAACACATTTGAGAGATTCTGTAACTCAGTTGTCAAGTGGTCTTTGTCAGCCAGGCGTTTGGTTCTGGAGATGAGAGTCTTGGCTACGGAGTTTATTTGTGCAGGGTGGTGGTGTGATTGTGCATGTAAGTAGCGGTTGGTGTGTGTTTTTTTTCCGGTAGATAGTGTGTCCTAGGGAGCCATCAGGTTTTTTGTAGACTAGGACGTCAAGGAAGGGAAGTTGGTTGTTGGCTTCTATTTCCATAGTGAATTGTATTTTGGGGTGTAGGCTGTTGAGGTGTGTGAGGAAGCTATCTAGTTTTTCCTTCCCGTGTGGCCAAATTACAAAGGTGGGCACTTGTGTGAAGAGAGATACAACATCGAAGCTCACAAGTAGGTCATTGGGATGTAGGTTTTGCTTCTTTATTGTTTCTATGAACTGGAAGGAGTTTGTAACGTGTGAAGAGATGGATTCTGCATAGGACACACTATCTACCGGAAAAAAACACACACCAACCGCTACTTACATGCACAATCACACCACCACTTGACCACTTGACAACTGAGTTACAGAATCTCTCAAATGTGTTAATCGCCAATGGATACCAGCAAAACAGGGTTACGAAGCTAATCCAAAAAGAAACACCCCCCAAAAACCAAGACACAGAAGAAAACAATGGCATGGCCCTCCTTCCTTATATCAAGGGCACTACAGATAAAATTAGCAAAATCCTCCATAAACACAATATCAAAACAGCCTTTTGCACCAACCAAAAAAAAATAGCCAATATCCTCAGAAACCCCAAGGATAAAATCCAGTTGGAAAACCAAGGGGTCTATGAAATACCTTGCAAAGTCTGCCCAGCCACGTACATTGGACAAACAAACAGACGAATAAATGCACGTATCGCAGAACACAAGAATGCCGTCAAAAAAGAAGAAAAAACTTCCTCTCTTTTCCAACACATGAAAGAAACAGGACACGAAATTAATTTTGCAGATTCCAAATTGCTCTTTAACATGGAACATCACCACAAGAGAATAATCATGGAAGCCATCGAGATAGAGAAACACCCTCACAACATGAACAAGCGTGACGACACATCCCGCCTGCCAGACATCTGGAAATTAGCCCTCCCCACAAAAACCGACACCAGATCCAGAGGCACACAGAACGCCATCACCAATCAACCACACCAGACCCAAACCCAGACCCTCTCCACAGATAAATTACAGACACCATCCAGTAGCCAAACCATGGTGGCACCTCCGGATGCTGCACCCCCCTGCAACCCCTACACAGATCTGGCTGGCACAGGCCACAAAACCACAGCTCGCCCCTATACACGAAGCCAAGCCAGAGCACAACTTAGTGCAGTACAGCCATCTTCTCAGAAAAACTCTTCACAAAGTTCAAGAGGTCAAGACACGAAGGCTTTAGCAACTAATCCACACCTAATGACCCACCTAAGTGGTACTCAGGATATCACTCAAGAAATCACTCAAGATATCCCTCAAGTAATTAAGGAACAAAAGAAGAAAAGGCACACTAGCCTGGGAACTTCCTCTCTGCCCAGAACATTGGAGGCTATACACCACACCTCCTCAACAGTATTTATAGGAACTCAAACACTGAGATCCTGCTCTGTTCCAGTAACAAGAAGCCGAAAGCACCAGCCTGAAGATGACGAGTGAGACCTCGTCGAAACGTCGCCTAGACACCCCAACTTTTACACGGGAAGACACCCGAGGACACCAAAACCTGCATTCCTGTACCCGTGAAAATCTACGAAAGCAAATATATATATATATATATATATATATATATATATATATATATATATATTAATTATATATATATATATAATATAATATAAGTTTTCTGTTTTGCAATTTAGAATATTCATTTAGACAACCTTAAAATATCAATGACTTCTCTTCTTCTCTTTCCGTGGTTAATTTTGCATAACATAAATCCCTGCATTATTACTTCCATCAAAACTTATTTACACTGTTGAATTTATCTTAATGCTGCCAACATTTTCAAGTGTGCACAATTTCCCCTCATATATTCAGTAAATGTTTTCCAGTCTTCTTTGAACGTATGCTCTTCCTGTTCTCTTATTCTATATGTTAGGTCCGCAAGCTGCACATATTCCATCAGTTTAAGTTGCCATTCTTCTTTAGTTGGGACTTTGCTTGCTTTCCATTTTTGGGCTAACAAAACACGGGCAGCAGTGGTGGCATACATAAATAACCTTTTTGACACCAGGGAATTTCCATCTGAATTATCCCCAAGAAAAAGGACTCTGGTTTTTTTGGGGGGGGAAGGTGCTTTTTAAACATTTCCCCCCCAATTCATTATAAATTATTTATAATAAAATATTTTCTTTTTCTTTTTTAGTACCTGGGATGCAAAGCAGGGTCCTGTGAAAGATGCATACAGCCTAGCTAACAACCCACAGTACAAACTAGAAGTTCAGTGCCCACAAGGTGGGGCTGCAGTTTGGATCCTGCTCAGCAGGCACATTACAGACAAGGTACCCTTGGCATGGGGACGTGGGTGGCGCTGTGGTCTAAACCACAGAGCCTAGGGCTTGCTGAGCAGAAGGTTGGCAGTTCGAATCCCCGCAACGGGGTGAGCTGTTAACCGGCCTGAGATCTGCCAGGTGAAGGGTGGTATAGAAATGTAATAAACAGAAACAGAATGTAGGTGGGTGGGTGGGTGGGTGACTAAGGCTAACCAACAAAAATAACAGATGAATAATAAGAATAATACATAAACGATGACCTAGTGAACAATGCGGCTTATTATTGGGTTATTTTATTTTATATATTCTGATTTTTTTGTGTGAACCACCGTGAGACCTCTGGGTGTTATAATAATAATAATAATAATAATAATAATAATAATAATAATAATTTTGGTCTTTGCTTTCGCAGGATGACTTTGCCCACAACCGGGAGTTCATCACAATGGTGGTATACAAAACAGATGGGAAAAAGGTTTACTATCCTGGTAGGTGTGTGAATAACCCTCCTCTTCCAGCTTCACCCTACAACCTATGAATACAAAGCTTCCAAAATAATATTAAAAGATTTCCTTTGTCAAGGGGGACATATGATTGAGAAGCTTGTTGTGGAAGCAGGATAGATACAACCATTTCTCTGACGTTTATTGACCGAAGTCTGTGGGTGTCTCATTTGACAGCCTGAGAAGGGTCCGACGCCTCTGCAGCTGACCACTAAATTAGTTCTTGTTGCTGTCCAGCTGTGCCTCTTCTTGTTTCTGACATCTGTTACTTTGCCATTAGCAATCCTCTAGAAATGCAAAATTCTACCTAAAGAATCTCCATCTTCTCCAAAGATGGGGAACCTGAGGCCCTCCAGATCTTTTATTTTTACTACATCTTACGTCCCCCCATGATGACCAAAGATGATGGGAGTCCATTCAGCCCGGACACTGAGGTCCAACTCCAAGGGCCTTCTGATAGTTCCCTTCCTTGCAAGAAGTGAGGTTGCAGAGGGCCTTCTCGGTAGTGGCGCCCATCCTGTGGAACACCCTCCCATCAGATGTCAAGGAAATAAATAACTATCTAACTTTTTAGAAGACATCTGAAGGCAGCCCTGTTTAGGGAATTTTTATATGTTTTATGTTTTATTATTCTGTTGCGAGCTGCCCAGAGTGACTGGGGAAACCCAGCCAGATTGGCAGGTTGTAAGTAAATATATATTTTTAAAAAACACCTAGAGAGCCAAAAGAATTCCTGTCCCTTTCAAAAATGCATATATCAAACCTAAATCTTTCTTTTTTTATGGGTGGCTTATACAGTATTTTTTTTTTAATAATAATAATGTATTCTTTTTCCATATTGAAAGTTACATTTGTTACTCAGCAGTTATATTCCAGTTCAACAAAACTAGTGACTTCCCGCTTACCCAACATCAATGTTTATAACCCAAATTACGATTGCATTTTAAGGTTCTGTCTTACCAAATTTCATCCTCTCCTACATGTTTCTTAATCTATTTCTTACACTTCAAACCCTGCTGTGGTCTCCGCATATGGGAAATAACTTTTGAAATAGACTAGAAAGGTCTTCTTTAAAGGATTCTAAATTTGTGTCTCTTATCAGTGCCGTCACCTTCGCCGTCTCTGTATATTCCAAGATTTTCACCAGACATTCTTCCTTGGAGGGTTTCCTCTCCTCTCCTTCCATTTCTGTGCATGGAGAATCCTTGCCACTGTCGTCACGGGCATAAATCTTTCCCTTTCAGCCGACCCTCCTCCGTATATCGACGGGATTCGAATCAACAGCCCCCACTATCTCACCAAGATCAAGCTGACCTCTCCGGGAACCCATACGTTTACTCTGGTGGTTTCTCAGTACGAAAAGCAGAACACGATTCACTACACGCTCAGGGTACGTGTTTATAGGCAGCCTTGCGAAAGAAGTATTTTAAGACGCTGGTCATCCCCACCATCAGATCTTTTCAGAGTCAGGCAGGGCAGCGGGAGTCGGCTCCGAGGCAATTCTTTCCACAGGGGAGCAGGCAAGTGGTTATTTTCAGCCCCACTTGCGGGGATTATATGCTAGAGCGGTTTTTGTTTCATTCAAAATTGCGGGAAACGTGACAAAGATGTAAAACTGCTTTAACGGAAAGGCGTCTCATTCCTTTTAATAATGGGGTCCTTTTAATGATGGTCATTGGCGGAGGCACAGAGGAAATCTCATTGCTCTGATGACAGCTGCCAAATACAGTGGTACCTCAGGTTACATACGCTTCAGGTTACAGACTCCGCTAACCCAGAAATAGTGCTTCAGGTTAATAACTTTGCTTCAGGTTGAGAACAGAAATCGTGCTCCGGCAGCATGGCAGCAGCAGGAGGGCCCATTAGCTAAAGTGGTGCTTCAGGTTAAGAACAGTTTCAGGTTAAGTACGGACCTCCGGAACAAATTAAGTACTTAACCCAAGATACCACTGTACAGTCGTACCTCGGAAGTTGAACGCCTTGCGAATCAAATGTTTTGGCTCCCGAACGCCGCAAACCCGGAAGTGAGTGTTCCAGTTTGCAAACGTTCTTTGGAACCCAAACGTCCTCCGCAGCTTCCGAACGTTTTGGAAGTCAAACGGACTTCCTGAACAGATTCCATTCGACTTCCGAGGTACAACTGTATAGTCACCATGTGATAACTTTTATGTGTGCAGTCACCAGCCTTCCTTAGAGCAGATTAGAGTGACCAGGGGTGCCAACTAGAAAAAAAATGGGGGGGGGGGATTCAGGTAAGCCCTGCCTCGCATAATCACTCACATGACACAGCACACACACACCATTTGAATGGCAGTGTCCGTCAACTTTTTTGGGGGGGGAGGGGGAACAGATCACACAAATATTTTATGGGGGGAAGGCGGAGAGACCTTTGCCCCTAGGACAGCGGTTCTCAACCTGTGGGTCCCCAGATGTTGTTTGACTACAACTCCCATCATCCTTGAGCTCTGGCCTTGCTCGCTAGGGGTGATGGGAGTTGTAGTTCAACAACATCTGGGGACCCACAGGTTGAGAAAGGCTGCCCTAGGAGTTGGTTCCTATGAGTGTGAGCACTGGACTTCTGCCTAAAGCAAAACCCCAAGAGAATTTGCAGGTTCTCTCTTGGGTGTGACACCAAAAGAATTTTGAGGGAAGCCAAAAATGTCAAACAGGAGAATATTCCGATATATCGCATCCCTAGATTATGTGTGACCCTGGGGAAACTTGTGGCACATTGTTGAGGACCCTCATCCCAGACGCAGTTCCTTCCTGTAACTGGAGACGGCCAAGTCGAGTTGTGATGTGACGACGATTGATCAAACGTAGCCGATTCTTTTCTGGATATTCTCTCTCTTGAATGTTCTGGACCAGCCAGCTCAGTTTCTCGGGGAAACGGCAAGTCTTTCTTTTCCCTCCACCAATCTACCCTGAAGCAATAACAAAAATACTTTCTGCTCCTCGCATATTGGACAAGTTGTATAATTACATTTCTCTTACATTAGGGCTGGGCGATGTCTGGTTTTCAACATCAAGATAGATCACCAGCCAAACATCGTGATATATCACAATGTCTAAAATGAGGAGGGAGCTGTGCAGAGGCATTGGCTGGCTTCACGGTTGTTCCTGCAGTGTGATTTTTGCCGGCACCTGCTCTGGTGGTTCGCTGCCCCCTGCAAGAGGCCGGGGAGAGCTGAGCCAACAGAGTTTAACAGGAGCTGCAGGAATCAAGAGATGCATTGGCTGGCTTCATGGTTCCTCCCACATTGTGATTTTTGCATAACACACACACATCATGATTTGTGATATCTCGGCAGGTCAAAAATTATAAAACTGGTATCACAATATGGGATTCAACCCGGTTTTGGACGATATATCACCCAGCTCTACTTCACATCTTACAAAAATCTGCATTTACGTGTGTGGGTAAGAGAAAACCATTTAGGTTCTGCTAAGAACGTAAAGAGACATCGCTGGAACAGGCGCCCAAGAGCATCTTGGGCTTGTACGTTTCCCTAGCTGTTGTCCGCTGCTTCTTTTTAATTTCACAACGTGTGGATCATTCTATGTGAATCTTTCCCATTTCTTTGTCAACTCAGGTGTATTCAGTGTGCAAGTTTAACTTCTGCAAGATCCCGACACCATATACCATATCCAAACGGGTAAGAAAGAATTGCAATCTCTATGGTCATCTGCTGGGTAGATCAAAATAAGATCTAAAAGTTCCTCGCTATATTCTTGTTGGGTTTAACCCTTGGATTGTGTGACAGAAAAACCAAAATTGTGCTAAACACTCATTGTAGTGAGCCTATTTAGTGATGTATTTACTTACCGTATTTTTCGCTCCATAAGGCTCACTGGACCATAAGGCACACCTAGTTTTTAGAGGGGGAAATCAAGAAAAAAATATATTATTCCTCCCCCCCCCCCGCCCCAAAGAGCAAAGAAGCCAAGACAGCGAGCAGGATCCATCCCGCTGGCTGTCTTGGCTTCTTTAGCCGCGCACAGCATCTCCAGCTGAGAGAGGCTGCACGCGGCTATGGCAATTCCCTCACCTCCTGCAAAAGCCCACAGGAGCGGGCTTTTCTACAAGGAGGGAGAAGGGACTGACTGGCCGCGTCAGTCCCTTCTCCCTCCTGGGGAAAAGCCTGCAAGAGCCGCACAGAGCTTGTGTGCGGCTCTTGGGGGCTTTTCCTGCCTTCCTCCCCCCTACATTCACTCCATAAGACGCACACACATCTCCCCTTACTTTTTAGAAGGGAAAGGGTGCGTCTTATGGAGCGAAAAATACGGTAAATGCAGCTATAACCAAACCAACTCAAATGGCTCTAAGGCATAAGGCTCCCCTCTTTTTGAAACATATTAAATGTGCTTCCTGCCACCAAAATCTATTGATCCTGGGCAGCCCCCATCTTAAAAGAATACAAGCAGTTGAAGGCCTGGCAAGAAACGTGCCTAAAAGGCACTTGACACTTCAGTCTGAATCCTGCAACAAAGGAAGACTTTAGCAGGACCATTTTCCATAAAAGGACATAGCAATTAAGTCAAGGAGCCGATGTAAAACCTTTGCCTTGTTCCAGTGTAAGCTTGAGCGACTTTGAGATTGAAGTTCTAGTAAAGCGTTGGAAGTCAAACAGAAGGAAAGTTAAATGGGAACTAGGATTAATTAATCATTTCTTTTTGTTCTCAATAGTATGTGCTGCTTAAAAAAAACCTCTTGAACTTTCTTTTGCTTAGGTTAATGGTCAGTGGAAAGGTCAAAGCGCTGGCGGGTGTGGGAATTTCAGAGAGACCGCCAAGAACAATCCTATTTACCAGTTCCAGTTGGACAAGGCCGGCCCCCTCCTCATTGAGCTACGAGGACCAAGGTTTGTGCAGGTTTGAAGGAGTGGAGCCGCAAAGTTAGTGCGGTGCAACGCAAACATTGTTTGTTGGCCAAACTCAGTCATTTGTCTAGTCTTATAAACTCCATTTGTTTTTGTTCCTTTATGGGGAATCTAACCAGCAAATTGCTGCTATTAATATAATAATAATAATAAATAACAACAACATATGTATACCACCCTTCATCCAAAGATCTTAGGGTGTTTCACAGCATGAAAATACAGAATAAAACCAGAGTACATAATCAAAACAAAAGAATAACCCCCCTCCCCCCCACACATTTGAAAGGACATACATTTCAGAAAATTCCTTATTTTAATTACTTTTTCTAAGGATGCTGAGTTATGTGCTTACTTCCAAATCCTATACAGTGGTACCTCGGGTTACATACGCTTCAGGTTACAGGCTCTGCTAACCCAGAAATAGTGCTTCAGGTTAAGAACTTTGCTTCAGGATGAGAACAGAAATCGGGGTCCGGCGGCATGGCAGCAGCGGGAGGCCCCATTAGCTAAAGTGGTGCTTCAGGTTAAGAACAGTTTCAGGTTAAGAACAGACCTCCGGAACGAATTAAGTTCTTAACCCGAGGTACCACTGTAATTTTGGCGTCCATAAATACCCTTGCCCAGTGCTCCCCCCCCTAAAAAAAGGTTTAGGGGTACTTTTATTTTGACTCAAGAAAATCACCACTTTATAGTTCAAATCAGGAAAAATAAATACAGTAAATGGACAAAACTACAAAGATTCACAAAATGTTTAGGGGTATGCGTACCCCTGCATCTCCCCCAGAAAAAATCACTGCCCTTGCCAAAGGTCACTGTGTCTAAAAGGCAATCACAACCTCCAATTTGGTTTTTGCAGGCAATACAGTGTTGGCTTTGAAGTGGTGACCGTCTCTACAGTGGGAGAGCAAGGCTTTCAGAAGAAAAACAGCGGCGATTACAGGTAATGACGCCTTGTCTGGCGACACATCTTTCTGGATTTGCATTCTGCTAGATCTCGTCCTAAGTTTGCCCCTTTTTTTCTCTTTTCTCCCTCCCAAGGTGTGGGTTTTGCTACCTAGAACTCGAATGTGTCCCTGCTGGCATATACAATATTATCCCAAGCACTTTCCTCCCTCAGCAGGAAGGACCTTTCTTTTTGGACTTTAATAGCGTTACCCCTCTTAAGACATCGCAGCTGCAATGAAGTCACCCATCTTCTATGACTCTCTTGCAATGGATGTGGCAGACCTTAAGACTCTAAACGCTGGAGGGCAATCGAAAGAACCTACCTGAGTAGGAAAAAATGTTTACATGGGCTGTGCAAAACAAATCTGGACTTTCTCAAAGGGAATTGCACCCTCAAGTTGGAGCAGGTAACCACTGCTGTGGATTGATTTTGAACACCTACAAGTTTCTACCACGTATGCACTTTTATAAGGACAGATGGTCGTTGTCCATAGGGATCTCTTAAAGCAAGAGTGGAAACCAAGTTTCTTCTCTTATCCTAGAAGTGGACAACTGGAGGGCAGGCCAAGGGAATTGCTTGTTTTTCTATAATGTCCTTGCTTTTTGCATGGCTTTGCTTCTGAGAATATTTTCATCACGTTTGGGCTTTAAAATGTCTGTCTCCCACCAACTCCCCTCCTTACAGCTTTGGTTTTTCCAAATACACCAGTGAACAAGCTCAGGTCGTATCTGTCTTGAATCAGAGATGGCTGTACATGTTGAAATACTTCCTTGGCTCTTTGCTGCAAGGGTGAGAACCTGTGGCCCTCCAGATATTTTGGAACTAATAATTAATAATAATTAATAATTAATAATAATATCCTGCCATGAGGACTGGGAGAAACCCCTGCCTGAAATAGCTGTTGGTTTAGCTCAGGGTGGATAAAAATCAATGATATTTTTTTTAAAAAAAATCAAACTTTTAAAATAAAATGCTTTTGGAGGAAAAATCTTTCTAAAGATAGTTTTCTATTTAAGTTACATTATAGTCCAAAGGCTATTCATCAGGAAATAAGGATTTAAGTTTTTCATGTGTGTTAAACTCAGTCTAAGTTTTCTTTTTTTAAAAAAAATGTTTAACCACATCAGTTAACAAATACGGATACATGTGCTATAATGTTATTGTTTTAGTTAAATAAATTGTTAAGGAAATGATTATTTTTCTACTTCCAATAAAGTACAGCAGAAAAGTTGTCCAAATATAAACAATTACATTTCATAATTACCTGTCTTTGTATTTCTAATAGTCTAACCAAATCAGTATAATTTTTGATATAACTGTAAAAACTGCTCTGAAAATTTATTATTCCAAAAATGAAACCTTCAGCTGGTTGTGAATATTAAGATTATACCAGCAAGAATGAGTCTTTCTGTAAAAAAAATGATTTAAATCAGGTCTTACTGACTAGTGATTTAAATCGTGATTTAAATCAATTTGATTTAAATCAGATCCACCCTGCTTTAGCTGATTTCCCCCTTAAATGTAGGGCTTTGGAGAGGTACCTATTTCTCTTTGAAGCAGGGTTGGGAACTGTGCTTCTCTATAGTGCTGGGCACCCAACACCCATCAGCCCTAGTCACCCATGTCTAACCATGTGTATACACCACCCATCTGCAGGGCTGCAGGTTCTCCATCCCATCTACAGCACAGAGGACGAGGCTATCGTTTGTTATTGGTAAGTTCAATTTGTGAAAGACACTTGGTATCCCCAATGGAGAAATAGCAGCTTCAGCCCAAAGGGAGAAGGGGCTGGAGCAAGCCTTGTTTAAAGGTAAAGTAAAGGGACCCCTGACCATTAGGTCCAGTCGCAGATGACTCTGGGGTTGCGGCGCTCATCTCACTTTATTGGCCAAGGGACCCGGCGTACAGCTTCCGGGTCATGTGGCCAGCATGACTAAGCCGCTTCTGGCAAACCAGAGCAGTGCACGGAAATGCCATTTACCTTCCCGCCAGAGCGGTGCCTATTTATCTACTTGCACTTTGATGTGCTTTCGAACTGCTAGGTTGGCAGGAGCAGGGACCGAGCAATGGGAGCTCACCCCGTCGCGGGGATTCAAACCGCTGACCTTCTGATCAGCAAGCCCTAGGCTCAGTGGTTTAGACCACAGCGCCACCCCAATTTGCTACTTAAAAATCCATTTCCCTTGTCTGTTTTCAACCAAATCTGCCTGATTTTTATTTAGTTTTTAGTTTTGCTTTTCTCAAGAAAATGAATGCCCAAATACGCAAGGCAGCTCCTTCCCCGTTATCAAGCGACTCAACAGGATGACGTTGCTTTTGCTATTATCTCAACTGGTAGCTCCCTTTGAAAAGGGAATCAAAATCGGGTGCCTTGTAATTGCTGTTCTGTGAGCGACCAGCTAGGCTAGGGGGAATTGAAACACGCTGTGCACTTATCAGTAGCTCCGCTTAACTGCTTTGCAAGGCAATTAGTAAGATGAAAGTTACAGATGTAGCCCTGACTGCAAACAAGTCAGTAATAAAAAGATAGAAGGCAACAGATTTAATTGACTCTTTAGAGGACTACATGCAATAATATTCTATGTAAGTACCAAAAAATGGATTCTATATGGAGTTTGTCGTGTGTACATATAGGTACACATATTATGGGGATTTATATCCACAGATACTTAACAAGAATTCATCCTTTGTTTATGGCGATGCATGATTTTTTGTACATGTACTGCTATTAAGCCAGGTATTTCCCATGTTACATTTGTGCCTCTGGTTTTTCCTCCCCAAGTGCAGAACCTGACATTTGTCCCTGTTGAAATTCATTTTGTTAGTTTGGACTCAGTTCTCCAACCTGTTAAGGTCATTTTGAATTCAGATTCTGTCTTCTGCATCATTAGCTACCCTTTCCAGTTTGGTGTCCTCTGCGAATTTGATGCACGTCTCCTCAATTCCTTCATCCAAGTCATTTTTTAAGACGATGAACAATGGACGGGCCCAGGACAGAATCCTACAGCATCGCACTTGTCACTTTTTTCCATTGACAGCATTTGTGTGATGAAGCATTTGTGACTGAGCTTGTTTTTTATTTCCTCCCTCCTAACCGCTTTTCCTTTTGTGTCATCTCTTTAACATAGTGAGCCTGAGGCCAGGGAGGAAATATATTTAAATGGCTGATATGCTTTTTAATTCTGCAATTTGGGTGCTCAAGGGAAGAGTCTACGGCGCACACAATAATATTAAATCCAGAGCTTTTGGTGGTGTTCTTTTTACTATTTATCACTGTGCCACAAATGGGACGAACAATTGTACCCCTTCGCTCTGACTTCCAAGCTTGAATCTTGCCATGTATCAGAGAAAAAAAGAAAACACGACAACTGTTTAGTTTTCGCTTTATTATTGACCGTTCCATTTGGCACTTGCAGAGTTCATTTCCTCAGTCGAAACATAAGCCAAACGCACAAATGGAAGTTGTCTGTATATTGAGGGGAACAAATTTGTAAAGGCTTCCCTAAAAGAATTTTAAGCACTTTCAACAGAACCATACTGCACATGAAAACAAAACTGAAGAGTGAAAGGAACATTCACTGTAGTGCGAAGGGTATATATATATATATATTGTACATTTGTTTTCAGAATAGCTACACGAAACTGTAGTTGGGGACAAAAAAACACAACAGAACTAAGCTAAGGAACAGAAAATCTGAGGACGGGGCAGCCAAGGAAACGAGTAAGTTTTATTAGCAATGGCATATGTCAGTTTCAGAAATGCTAACTACCAAAACAAAAGTCCTATGATTTTAACTACCTCTTATTAGCATAACTACCCGACATCTCTACTGCGTAACAGCTGTCGCTGAACATGCTTCGACACCCTTCCCAATCTTACTCGACTTCTTTTCACTCGAGGGATGCTAAATTTATAAGTCCTTTAATTACTCTACAAACCCTATAACATGACAACCTACAGCGATATTTAGAAGTACTCACTCACCCCATTAAACCCCTAACTGGCAAATAGACCATCTGTTCATGCAGGACAACTCCCTCTTCAAGCTTTGTAGGCCCAAGGTGTAAAAATAATATTTTCCTGATCCTACCTAGCAACGGACACCAGCCATACCAGAGAAGGTTGTCTGTAACAGCTCCGATGTACATTTCATTTTTCTTACTGGATCCGTAATAATTGGGACATCTTCTCCGAAACATGGTACACTAAGAAAAGGCATGTTCATCAATATTAACAACATATTTATGTTACCCTTGAGGTATAATTTTTACTCGAATATGAGGTCTAGAGACTCAGGGAAGGTTTCTAGACTCGGTCACATGCAACAGTATCCTTTTATAATCCAAAATATAAATATAGATGTTGAAAGTAGAAGGCTAGGCCGCTGGTCTAAACAGCAGCCCGGCTCAAAAAACGGGCATTGCCTACAAAATGGACACTGGCTGCTCCTCCTAAACGTTTGGTTCGGTCTTCCATTTCCCGACTGGCACAGAACTCCATACGCGGAACGCAACTCGTTATTGCTTCTGCCAAAACTGCTACCAGAGTGTCTTGCAAAGGCTGCGAAGTCCGACAAGCGCAGCGGATGTTTTGTGACCGGTTTCCGTCACGGCGAAAGATTTTGCTTGCATTTCTAAAAAATGCCGAAACACATACCTCAGCCCTCAACACTGATGGAACTCTCAGTGCAGTTTCCTAAAGAGTAAATGCTTAAAAGATTTGGCATGTATTAAATAGTTATTGGCACAAGGTTCTTCTGGCGTGCAGAAGAGAAGTTTGTATAAATTAATCGAGAGGTTCCTCCTCCGCTCCGAGGGGACATCGACCTCAGCCGATTTGTACTACTTTTCTGTCTGCGCAGATCCCATCTTTGACTTTCAGGCATTGGAGGGACAGCTGCTTCATCCGGTTGTCCAATGTAGGGCCGCTGGAAGAGGAGTGGCTGTTCCGGTTCTTGTTTGCTTTGTCGAGGGCCTTGTTCTCTGCTCCTTCTGCTCTGTCCCCTGCAAAGACGAAATGGAAAGGTTCAGCAGCTTGAATCATGGAACGACGTGGGTTTTACAGAACCTAGGAAGCTGCCTGGTATCAAGTCAGACCATTGATCCAGCTGGCTCAGTACTGTCTAAGCTGATTGGCCAGGGGTCTCCCACCCCTACCTCGAGATGCCAGGGAATAAGGGTTGTACCCAGCTATGTTCTACTCACAAGTTGATCCACTTAAATTAATGGTCTTAATTTAGTCATCTCCATTAATTTGAGTGGGTCTACTCAAAGGATAGGGGATACGGGTGGCGCTGTGATCAAAACCACAGAGCCTAGGACTTGCCAATCAGGTCTGCGGTTCGAATCCCTGCGACAGGGTGAGCTCCTATTGCTCGGTCCCTGCTCCTGCCAACCTAGCAGTTCGAAAGCACAAGTAGATAAATGGGTACCCTTCCGGCGGGAAGGTAAACGGCATTTTCCGTGTGCTGCGCTGGTTCGCCAGAAGCGGCTTAGTGCATGCTGGCCACATGACCCGGAAGCTGTACCGCTGGCTCCCTCAGCCATTAAAGTGAGTATGAGCGCCGCAAACGCCAGAGTCAGTCACAAAAACTGGACCTATTGGTCGGGGTCCCTTTACCTTACACAAAGGATGACTAACATTGGAGACTATCCTGAATCCAGACAGATGCTCTACCACTGAGCTACAGCCCCTTCCCTGACAATTTATTTTTATTATTATTTATTCAATTTATATACCGCCCTTCAATCCAGGCAGTTCACAGAGATCTACTTACTACTTCTATATCACTTATTGGCATGTGCAAATAACCATAGAATAATTAAGCTTGAATATATTAAAAGGCAGCAGTTGCTACATAAATATTTATATACATATAAAATCAGTGGTTTTCCTTGTTAACCTGCTCCTTGGAGGACTGCTACCAAAAACTCGGCTACCCCCGCCGTTACCCTTTGGTCGACGTCGGATAGGCAGAATCCCACACATTCACCTTGCTGGGGTTCCAGACCACCCAAAAGAGGGGACAGCACGCGTTGACGTGGGATACTGTACAATGGGCAATGAAAGAGAATATGCTCTACAGTGTCCGGGACATTCATAGAACATCTGCAGAATCTCTTGTTTCTAGGAATGTTTTGATATCTTCCCCTGACAAATGCTGAGGGAAAAACATTCAAACGGGCCAGCATAAAAGCCCTACGTTGGGCTGGGATTATTAATTTTGTGACGTAATTGGCTCTGCTATCTAAGATATTTAAATCATAGAATATGGGGGAGCAAATTTTGTTTACAGCTGCCATAATATTTTGTCTCTCGACATCCTTTAGTCTGGTTAGGATATTATGGAAAATGTATTGCTCATTAGAATTGTACAGGGGCTCCAGCTCGATGCCTAAAGATTCAATCTTTTTTTCGAGGTACTGATACCATCTTGATTTATAGGAGTCTTTGAGCAAATCAGCGAGCAGACTTGATGGAGGGCAGCGAAAATGGCAGCGTAACCAGTACTTTATTGAGGTGGACCAGGCCCAGTATTCCATTGTGTGTATGCCTATTTCTGCACACATTGTTTCATATTTGATCACAGCTGGGAGTCCAAGAATACGTCTCAGAAAGCTGGAGTGAATCTTTTTTAAATCACTGTTGTATGCTTGGACCCATAGCGGGATTCCATAGAATATCTGGGATTGCACTTTTGTTTGAAATATCTGATTGGCCGCAGGAATAAATTGATTACCTTTCTGATAATAAAAACGGGCAACTGCTGATGAGGTACACTTTGCCTGTTTTATGGCATTTGTGCGATGATTTGCCCACCCTAAATTGCTCTGGAATAAGATTCCCAGATACCTATAGATTTTCACTTGTTGGATTTCTTGCCCTCTTATTTTCCATTTCTCTAATTTCCAACCATTCGAGAAGACCAAAATTTTTGTCTTCTCATAATTTATAGAGAGTTTGTTACATTCGCAGTAAAGGATCAGAGAAGATATAAGACGTTTCAGACCCAAGCTCGTTAATGATAGTAGGACAGCATCGTCTGCGTATAATAAGAGAGGAACTGGTTTCTGATTAAGTTTAGGGGCATGTGATTCTATTTTTTGGAGGTGATCTGGCAAGTCTGATAAAAATAAATTAAATAGAAAGGGAGCGAGAATACACCCTTGTTTTACCCCTTTCGAGTTTGGGATGTCTGATGAAAGGTGACCTTTGGTGTTAAGTTTAACTTGAATAAACTAACAAATACAGTGGGGATCCCCCTTGCCCCATTCATCACCACCCATTCATCTCGGGAAATTTGGAACAAGCTGTAAAGCAAAAGGCACTTAATTCAAAGTACGATTGGATACAGCTGGAATTGGGAGAGTTTCCCCAAGAAGTACGTTGACCATTCTGCCATTTTCAACCCCACTGAAGTTCCTCCTGAACTACCTAATCTCGGCACAAGTTTGTTCTTGGTTTTTCTTGCTCTGAAATAAAATTGTAATCCTGTGGTCATGCTGCAGTTTGCATGTCCTCCAACAGGTGGCCACAGCAACTCGAGAGTGGCGACAGACCAGCAGGCTTGTGAGCAAGCAAGGAGTATGGGGGTGGACTGGCAGCCCAGGTGAGCTGTTTAAAGGAGAGCGGGGGATACTACAGAAGAAGGGGTGGCCCTCAGGGCAAGCTGGGAGGGCAGGACGAGGAAGTATAAAAGGAGCTCACCAAGTGCGGCAGAAGGGAGGCTGGCAAAGGAATTGGGGATGGCAGCCCCTAGTAAGTTTCAATTTTTGAACCCTCAGGAAGAAAAGCAGCCCAGTGTGTGCATGCGTGCAAATTTTTGATGTAAACACACACACAAAAAGGTTAAGGGATCCCTGACCATTAGGTCCAATTGTGGCCGACTCGGGTTGCGGTGCTCATCTCGCTTTATTGGCCAAGGGAGCCAGCGTACACATTCTGGGTCATGTGGCCAGCATGACTGAGCCGCTTCTGGCAAACCAGAGCAGCACACGGAAACACCGTTTACCTTCCCGCCGGAGTGGTACCTATTTATCTACTTGCACTTTGACGTGCTTTCGAACTGCTAGGTTGGCAGGAGGAGGGACTGAGCAACGGCAGCTCACCCCGTCGCAGGGATTCGAACCGCCGACCTTCTAATCAGCAAGTCCTAGGCTCTGTGGTTTAACCCACAGCGCCACCCGCGTCCCTACACAGCTGTAAGATTGAGTCGTAATACACACAGTCTCCTACGTCTCTCGCACTATTCTCCCCTAGGACTGGTAGCACACATTTTGTTTTCTGTTTTTTAAAAAACACATTGGTATTCCTTTCCATTTCTTCAAGCAACAATAAACCCGTCAACCACCACATCCCATGAGCTTTATTTACAGCTGTTAGCTTTCACTCTTTGCTGCCGATTTTTGGTGACTTATTTTAAGATACCAGCACTATCGTTTTGGGGTGAAAAATGCTCTACGCTCATCAGAAGAAACCCCTCGCTGTGCAAGACTGGTCTGTCACCTTTGGAACTGAAAACTCTGGAATTTTCCTTCAGCCAGGCATTAACTTCCTGCTTCAGGAAGCAGGAATCATTCGCAGAATGATTTCACACTTCAAGTACAGGGAGGGTGCAAGTTACAGATTAAACTTGTTCCTGGCTAAGCTTGACATACTTTGCCGCACGACAGCCAGAAAGCTGAAGGGTGAGAGCTTTGAGAATACCAGCCAGATGGGCAGGGTATAAATAATAAAAGTATTATTAGAGATTTAAAGGGCAGAGGAAGGCTGGGCTTTGGTCCCACCCTATTTATGTGGGTTAGAAGATGCTTAAAGGTAAAGGGACCCCTGACCATTAGGTCCAGTTGTGGCCGATTCTGGGGTTGCGGCGCTCATCTCGTTTTATTGGCCGAGGGAGCCGGCGTACAGTTTCCAGGTCATGTGGCCAGCATGGTGAACCAGCGCAGCACACGGAAACATCGTTTACCTTCCCGCCAGAGTGGTACCTATTTATCTACTTGCACTTTGACATGCTTTCAAACTGCTAGGTTGGCAGGAGCAGGGACCGAGCAACGGGAGCTCACCCCATCATGGGGATTCGAACCGCTGACCTTCTGATTGGCAAGTCCTAGGCTCTGTGGTTCAACCCACAGCACCACCCGTGTCCCAGCTTAGAATGTCTCATAGATTTACTTGGTTACACATGTTCCATTTGCAGTGGGGAAAGATGGGGAGAAATGAACAACCCCTCCCCCCAGACCTTCAAGCCTGTTGATCCCTTTCCTAATAATCCCTAGCCTGGTCCAACTTACCCCTTTCAATTTCACATTCAGGAGAGGAAGCCCCGCTGCATTCACTGCGAGGTCCTAGTAGAGGAAAGATGCCAAATTCAGACAGCGAGATGGGGCTGGAGAGATCCAGGCTCCTAGGCCGTGCCACGGGGAGAAACTGAGATGGCGTCTCAAAAGGGCTTGTCGGACCAGAGCTGAAACTGGATACGGACTGGGTCTCAGAGTCATCTTCAGACACTAGGCTGTTGCAGGTGTCGTCCTCAAATACTTCCGAAGCCACTGCAAAATCGGAGAGCAAGAAAAGTCAGAGAGCAAAATCTGATTAGAAGGAGGATTTCCCTTCCAAGTCCTCCATCTGCCTGCGCCT